CTAGGCACTGAAAACGGTTTTGTAACTCGAGCTGAAAGGTTTCGGGACTTTGGATTAGAGCACGAGGGGGACGGAGCGTTGACTTCATTAGACGAGACCTCTCCAACCTAACGTTTAGGTTCAGTGTGCCTCTAACCATTCGGTGATCGCTACCAGTTTTCACCCTCGCGATCACGGAGACATCACTGAACAGTTGTCGTCTGGTCGTCATAATGAAGTCAATCTCATTTTTTGTCGAACCGTCGGGGCTCGACCAGGTCCACTTCCTGTGGGGCCGCTTCTGGAAGAAAGAGTTCATCATAAAGAGTCCCTCTTTCTCCATGAAGTCGGCCAGCTGCTGGCCCCTTGGGTTCCGTTGCCCTATTCCAAATTTCCCTACTTTCAGCTCACCGCTCTCTCTTGTGCCTAGTTTTGCATTAAAGTCTCCCATTAACACCGTATATTGGGTTTTGGAGGAATGCATGGCTCTAGAGATATCCTCATACATTTCCTCCACCTCCTCATTGGGGTGTGCCGAGGTTGGTGCGTAAACCTGTATGACCTTCAGCGAATACCGTTTGGTGATTCTGAGTATAAGGTACGCAACCCTCGTCGACACACTCTCGATCTTTACAACGTTGTTAACGAGAGACTTGTGGACGATAAATCCGACACCGCCTTGGGACAGATGGTCGCCCTCCCGGTGATAGAGCAAGTTGCCGGATTCGAGGATTACCGTGTCCTCCCCCTCTCTTCGGACTTCGGATAATCCTATAATATGCCAGCGCAACTTGTCCATCTCTTCTTCCAGCACCACGATCTTCTCGTCAGTCCTCAGGGTGCGTGCGTTGTACGTTGCCAGGTCGAGTCGTCTAAGGTGGCAACCGAACCTCCACCGGAGATTCTTAGCACCCCCCGCCCCGCCGTTACCATGGTCGCCACCGTAGCCAGGAATAGCGGGGCCGCCGGGGACTGGGGGCCGTTTCTTTGTTACTGTCATTCATAGGGGGGTATTTGCCATAGTTGCCACGCTTGGCGAGCGGGTTGGCAACCGCAGTTTTTTTTTATTGTTAGTTTGTTGTTATCAAGAAGATGCTGCTGCCCATCTCCTGCCTGTTTCCCTTTGTAGCCTTTTACGACATCCACGGGAGGATATGGGGTAGTGGATATTCTTGACCGCCACTAATAAATAATATTTATATATAAAAATTACGTGTCACGTTGTTAGTCTGCGATGGACTACCGAACTGATTTCAATGAAATTTTGCACACTGTGTGCAGTTTGGTCCAACTTGAGTGATAGGATAGTTTTTATCCCGCTAAATGACCCTCAAAATTTTTTATTGCGAATTTAAGGATTTTTATAGGAAGTGCCGTTGGAAAGGGCAGAACAACATGTGCCTGGTCAGCTAGTATAATATAATATTGTAGTGTTTTACAGTACGACTTCGCCTGGGTGAGATCTACTGATATACTACTGTTGAGTTGCCTCTTTGGTCTAGTGGTTGTAGTAGTGCGACTGTTGATCATGAGGTCCCGATTTCGAATCCCGGGTCGGGCCAAAAAAATTCGTTATTGAGCTTTTCCGTCAAGAAATTTTCAGTAGCTGCTTGGAGTCAGGAAGTTGGCGGTGTATCACCCCGTGCCTCGGAAAGCACGTAAAGTCGTTGGTTCTGCGCCTGATCTCTCTGCAGACGTGTCGGTTTACCGTCTCATCGGACTATGAGAGTGATGGAATAGAGAGTGCACCTGTGCTTGTGCACACACTTTTTGGGGGGCACTATTATTAATCCTGTCTTGCGCCGATGGCTAGTCTCCGTCTCCTCGAGGCTGGCCGCCGTAACCGAAATTCGGTCTGGAGAATATTATTATTTTGGCGTTTTTTAGGATTTAATATTATAAGATATCAGATCATTCATTTTATAAATTTTTCATTTTAATGTAATACTTGTATACATTGTATTATAGAATGTATTAACTATGTTACAAACAGACACTTCAATTTTCTTTATATGTATAGTAAAGTAAAAGTAAAGTTACAGCCTATATACGTTTCACTACGTGGCACAGGCCTCCTCTAATTTTTGAGAGGGTTTTAGGGCAAGAAAGTGTCCGCCGCACTGCCCCAATGCGAGTTGGCGAACTTCGCATGTCTTTGAAATACTTTTTTTTTCTTATTTCTCAGACATGTAGGTTTCCTCACGAAGTTTTCCTTCACCGCCGAGCACGTGGTAAATCAGCACTTAAAATTGCAATTAACAATTTCATTGGTGCCGGCGGGGTACGAACCCGGGTTGCTCGAGTACTGTGAAATTTACCGCGAGCGCTAACCATCTAAGCTACCACAGCTCTATATGTATAGATGTGTAGATAATAAAACAATTGAGGTACAGCCTCCTTTATAGCATATAAAAGTCCATTGCAAATAATGGATTAATGGTTGAAGAAGCATGTTATATTTTGCAGTCATACGGATTGCGTATGACTGTGAAACATTGTATCTAATTATTAGGTATTCGTCACTGACTTATGATAATTACTATTGGATAATACTGCATAAAAAGGAAAATAATGTAATACTTGTATGCATTTTATTTTTAAACGATTTGTCAATATATTTTAGAACAAAACCAAATTTAAAAGAATAATATACTTAAAAACTATTTGTTGTTAACAATTACAACTACTACCCGTGCGGTTAAAGAATGGGATTGAAAATGGCGTCGCTTCTATTCACTTCTCGCTCGCACAATGTCGCTATCTATATTCACAGACGCTGGTAAAGACTGCAAAAAAATATGTTGCGATATGCGTTTATCGTACGTTCTATAACTTCAGTCTAACTTGTTATTGGAATTAATGATAACAAAAGGCCATAAACTATAAAAAATAATTCAGTCTGGTTTCACTAATTTGTGAGCTAGACGCATTCTAAGAGTTTTCTTCATAATTATTGTTGATTTTGTTTGTTTATATTTTTATATAAAATATTTATTTACATGCTATTGAAACATGAGTAGAAACCATTTTTAAAATTTTAGTTGGTCTGTCTGTTACTACTTGTAGCTAATTTGCGGAATCGCTAAACCGCTTATTAAACTTAAACAAATAGAGAGTATTTTTTTAAACTGACTTTACGGATATGGGTTCTAGCCCTTCTGAGCCTCAAATAGAGAGTAATACCAGGAGTGACCTAGACTAAATTTTATAAGAAAAGTTTTGAGACTTTATTAAAATAGAAATATTGATAAGAAAAAATAAGTGGTCTTTAGTGATTATCTAAGTCTAAATAATGCCAAATTTTTAGATCCCATCCAGTCGAAGCCAGAGCGGGTCGCTAGTTATAAATCTTATTTTAAAACTAATGTACCTACTTACGTACCTATAAAATTGTTTTCAAATATTTTCCAATGAATAGAAAATTCCCAATTAACCAAATTTTATAACGTTATAACTATTTTTTTATAGCATAGGGTGACAAACGAGCACACAGTCCACTTGATGGTAAGTGGTTGCTGTGGCTCATAGACATCTACATCTATCCTCGTTTGCGATTCAAAATGCAGATACGAAACCCAGCCGTGTTAAGCTGCTATTTTACGGTGGTGTTCTGTGAGAGCGTGGTCCTTCCCCGGTCGAGCCGACCCATTCGTGCTACAACTATACTACTAATATAGCTGCAGCATGGTTCTACCACGTACGAAATACCGCTATTAGCGGGTTTTCACTATCGGTATCGGCATGTAGACCGTACGGGCTCGATGAGCAGCCATCTCATTCTTTATCCGTACGGACTGTATGGTGAATTATTTAAAAAAAAAGAACGCTATTGCCGTCTACTAGTAATTTCTCCTATGTCGTGGAGGTTTTTTATTTACATGCATAAATTTTACAAACAGCCACACTTGGAGCAATTATTTGTAATCCATAAAAATAATATTTGTCTCGTGTAGGAATCGAAACCGCGGCGCGTAGCGCCGGATGCTGAGCCTAAGTTTGTATACTAAGCCGTAAATTTTGAATTTTTCTAACTAAACGTAAGGTAAAATATATGTATTATGAATCCCACAAAAATATTAATTTACACCAAGTTAAGTGGTAGCAATTATTTGATACAGCGACTGTTAATAATGTTGTGAGTATTTTTCTTTAGAACTTGTATATAATTCTAGGAAAACTTTGTTGTAGACAGATTTCAAATAAATCAATGTTGCAACTTTATTACTAAGTGTTTTACTTGTGAAAAGCACTTCAGCGGTGCCGCTTAGTGAATAGAGTGTAGGGCGAAAGGTAATAAAGTGAGATAGGTGTGATGATACGTCTACAATAATTATGAATATCCTCATTACAGGTTTTTTTTACCACTTATTGATACATTTACGCTTTTGCTTTACCACCTTAATTAAAAATGTTACAAAGGGCCGACTTAATGCCGTTTTATTATTTTCCAATTACCCCCATTAGTACGAAAGTGTTGTAGTATAAATCTATACGAATAAATAAAATTTGTCTTTTTGTAATTTAAAAATAACAGTGATTTAGTAAATGTTTATGGAAGTATATACGGTACTAATAACAAAAAAAAAACGATTTTCAAAAACGTTTGCCTGTTGGTTTGCTCTGGCTGATCTCCGAATCGGCTGGACCGAATTTGACGGGACGTTCACTGGCAGATAGCTAGTGTTATAAGGAGTAACTTAGGACTTTTATTTTAGGAAAAGAATCAGAGTTCCGCACAAAAAAATTAAAACCCATAAAATCCAATCCTAATAAATTTCACGTGGCCAAATGTGGAACAGCTAGTTATGGTTTAATGTTCTATTTGACTATTGCTTTTAATTTAAATATTATTACCGATTATTTTTTTTTATTTACAAATTTATTTATACAAATTTTCAGTAAACATGATTGTATGATAGATAGATATTTTAGTTTTTAGGGAAATACGTTTATATATATTACGTATTTAAATAAAAAAAAATGACGATATAATTTCACACAGTTTTAATGTCTTCTTTCAGGTTACTGGTTGGAGCGCCTTTGGGTCAAAACCTTCAGCCGAACACAACTAGGTCAGGCGCATTATGGAAGTGCCGCTTGACCCCTGCTGTTAGAGACTGCGAACAAATCATCACTGACGGAAAGAGTGAGTAATTCTCTATTAGAGAAGTATTAAGGTCAGTGGTTTAAATCGGTTAGGGTCAATATCGATTAATTCATAAATTTATACAAACATACACATCATATATCATTATGAACCATTCATTAGCTATGTTGTCATAATATTCCACCTCCAGTGATAAGAAAAACTGTTTCAGAATGGTTGTTTACAATTATGTATAAATTATGTAAAAATTACTCAATAGCTTTATAAATAATGTCAAGAGAGTATTGCGAGATATTTTATGAGATTTCTATTTAAAAAAGCAATAAATATATATCACATTACCGTACATACTTAGTAATGTAGTATTTGAAACACATAGAACCTAGCATTTAGAAGTATTAAGCTTCAAAACACTTGTGATTTAGTTTAAACTGTGTGAACACATATAGATCACGTTGATTCTAAATTTAGACAACACTATTATTCATAGATAGCGTATTTTTATCGTAGTTGTAAGGAGCTGGAACGAAATATTTTGTAGTACGATTATATATTAAAGTAGTTTGTTTAAGTTTTAACTAAAATATTGTCTTTTGTCGGTGGTGCCCCAAACAGCGAAGTACGGCAAGATAGACAAGAGTAAGTGAGCTGTGGTCTCAACCCCTTTTGTATTTAATCAATTTGCTCCTCCACTAATAACGACTAATCGCTGTTTTTTTATTTTTTTATTTTACTAATAGCCAGCAGTTCCAGCTGAACTTTCGTTACGTAAATTGCAACGCATGCGTAAACTAACTTTTAGATTTCACAGTGCATAGAAAAATCACGTAATCACTACAAATACTCAGGGTTCGTTTTATTATATTATGTTGATGGTTTAACAAAGAGACTTCTCCTAATTTTTCACAATGCAAGTCTACCAAAATATATCGTATTCGAATTCGAATATGTCTATTGCATCTAAAATGAACCCTGATTATAATGGTATGAAACACTAACTGCTTGCAAAAAACCAACTCACAAGCTTGAGCCAAGCACTTAAAACTATAAATATTTTTATAAGTATAAATAATAGGAAAACACAGTTGTACAAGTAAGCAATAAATAGAATTGATCAAAAGAGACTTTAGTACTTTTAAACCAAATGTCCTTTGTTTCAGAAATAGCTTTTTAAGGTAGATGTTTGTAGATAAAAATAGTGTTTAAAACGCGAAAAATTGCTTAATTTTACCAACTTCGTATTAATACTGTTAAACGATTTAACACTAAAGTGAAATCATTCAAGGTGACTGGAAAATTAACAAATAACTGTTTAACATGTAGAACATTAAAATTTTGAACTTAATAGCCACATTTTCGTATTTAAACAATAATAAACAATTGAGAAAATACCAAATTATATCTGGTTGCGTAACCATTTTTGTCTAACAAATAGCGAATCAGAAACTGATGAATAGCGCTGGGCCGATTAACACATTTAGTAATAATTAGCTGTACTTATTTAAAATTAAAAAAATAATATTTTGGTGTAAGTCTGGTGAATAAAGGATCGGCCATTGATTAATTTGTATCAGTATCAGCTCGAAATTAACATAAAGTAGTATTCGATAACGTCTATTAACCCGAGACCACACTTAAGTCATTGTACACTGTTTGTTTAATGAGCGTTTTCAGGATGCGGATTATATAAACACCACATTAGTGATTTACACTTTCATCTATTTATAGGTTTATAATAAAAATAAAAATATATTATGCATGTATTTTCTATGAGAAATAGTAGTTATGTTACACTCGCACGGTGTTTCCGTAATGTGAAACTGAATTTTTTGATCACTCTGCAAGATTTTATTACTTTCGCTATGGCAAGGAATCATTTTTATCTTGCATCATTCACGCCTTCCGCAGCGCTTTGCATTCGCCGAGGTACCACCACATCGGTTGTAACTGGGTATGAAATTATAAAACCAAACGCAACTAATTTAAGGGTACAATCGGTATTCATATCATTCTATCAAATTGCTTTTATTTGAATTATTTAGAATGGAATTTTATAAATGTTTTTGCTATATTTGTTCTGAAAATTTACCTAATTTTGGGTTTATTTTAAATTTTTTTTAAAACGTGCCAGTTTTTATTTAAAATATTGTGCCTAATTTGGAGTCTAAATAGCTTTTTATTTTTTAGTCTGTTTGTAAAGGAATAGAATTAAAAATCCTTTATGTAACAATGTAATGTATTTTTTTATAATTTGCCATAAAGAATACGCCAGTAAAAAAGTAAATGTTGCTTTGATATGTATTGTTAATTTCTCGACGCAATAAATGTATTAAAAATTGCTTTATGATGTATAGCTTTAGACTCGTACACACTTACTGCGCCTTATGAGGATGAAATCAAAGATGGACAGTGGCTGGGCGTCTCCGTTCGTAGTCAAGGTCCAGGACGAAAAGCTGTTGTTTGTGCACATAGGTAAGTTATCATGGTGATGGACTCCAATAACTATATAATAATGTGGGAAGGCTTGAATATACTCTGCCTTGGAATATAAAAATTAAAATATATTAAGTACTTAAACTTCTGATTTTGTTATTAATTCGTTTTTAGAGTGATAGTATGAATAGAATATTTACTAAAGTTGGTAAAAATTACATCGGCTCGATAAAATAAAATGATGTGTCTTACCTAGTTTGAAGAGCACCTCCCGCCTTCCCTCAATTGCGTGCACTATCTCCGTCACCACTAATCCCAGCACCACTAATTCCATCACCAGTGGGATTAGTGGTGACGTTGATAGTGTACGCAATTGACGGAGGGCTTGAGGGCTCTTCAAACTAGGTAAGACACATCATTTTATTTTATCGAGCGGATGTACGCAAAGTAATTTTTACCGACTTTAATATAATTGATTTCCGCAAAGTAATGCCTGATTCTATTAATTAGAATATTTACTTACTATACGCATGGAATAAAGGCTTGGTAGGTCATAAGTTGTGTTTGTCTTTACTTTCTTAGAAATATATAATCTATACAAATAAATAAAATTGAAGAGTCTGTTTGTAATGTCAAAATTAAAGTTTTTTACTAAATGCATATGAAAGCAAATACGGTACTTATAACTAAAATACAATTTTTAAAATTTTTGTCTGTCTGTCTGTTTGTTCCGGCTAATCTCGGAAACCGCTGGACCGATTTTGACGGACATTTCACTGGCAGTTAGCTGATTTCATAAGGAGGAACTTAGGCTACTTTTATTTTAGAAAAAGAATTAGGGTTCCGCGCAAAAACATAAAAACCCTAACACGCGAGCGAAGTCGCGGGGAACAGCTAGTGTATACATAAAAATGAAACGTTTAGTTGCAATTTTAAAGGCTGATTTACTACTTACATGGTAAAACATGCGCATCAGAAATGCTTAACATCTCTCTCACATGTAAAGTCTGCTGAATAGCAATGGACCAGAGTTAGCCGTTTTAATTTTAATCACTCTTAATAAAAATTAGTGTTGGTGTTGGTTTTCAATATGATGATGGTATGTTCTTCAAACGGATAGGATTTTACTCTCTGCAGTATAATACTTATCTAGTATTGCGCACAAATAATATTAAAAATATTTTCTTTTATATTCTAGATATATTCGTAAATCCGGCGAGTCGCAGTTTGGACAAGGACTCTGCTATACTTTGAGCAACGACCTCCAACTTCTGGACTCCTGGGAGCCATGTAGGGGACGATCAGTAAACAAGTAATTTCTATGCATTTGTTATAGTATAAAATTTGTTTTATTTATGAAGTATTCCAATCCAATTAATATCTTAGGTTGTAGAAATAAAAGGGTTCAGCATAACGCCGTGGTAGTGGTACCACAACCACGACGTTGTGATTTTGTTAGTGGCTTTAATTCATGCACAATTGTGGGACTCTTTATATTATTAAATAATATATACTAAGCTAGCCCGAAGGACAATTTTCTGCGACTCTGATTTTTTTACAATCAATTTTAAAATTTATTAATAACTCGACCACAGCGCACGCACACCCTATCTAGTCCAGATTTTATAAATTTCTTTACCACTCCCTTCCAATAAATATATTGTGAATATGAGTCACTTAATCTGTTGTGGCGATTACGTAACTATTGCAAATAAGATATTTCCATTACGATTTCGTGGGATTTGGTCTCGGCGTTAAAATTAATTGTATGATAATAATTTACTAGCTACGCTTGTGAACGTACATTGCTTGCAATTGAAGTTAGCATTTATACAAGGCACATACATGTTTATCGTCCTCTCGTGAAAATATATATTTGACTAACTATTACCTGCCCGCTTCGACGGGTATTTACTTTTGTTACATTGTATTTTATTACAATAATGATTGTTTTAAAAATTAAATACTTTTAATATAAAGTAAGAGCCGACTTCAAAGAATTAAAAGGTCAAATGTTTAACCTTCTGATATCGGTGCTAAGACATAGTGTAGAGCCATGCTGCAGCTATATTTATTGTATAGTTGTAGCACAAATGGGTCGGCTCGAGCGGGGTACCACGCTCTCACAGAATACCAGCGTAAAATAGCAGCTTAATGCTGCTGTGTTTCGTATGGTGTGTGTAGAGAACCGGAGAACTTTTTTACTGGAAAAAAGGAATTCCATCTTAGTCCTCACGGCTGACGACGCATCTGCATTTTGATTCGCAAACGATGATAGATGTAGGTGTATATGGCCCACAGTAACCAATTACCATCAGGTGGACTGTGTGATCGCTTGTCACCCTAATATTATAAAAAAAGTGCATAGAAAAATTAAAGCTCAGACTTTAGAATTTGCAAGTATTTTATTTTTTAGTTCTTTGGAGTTTTTACTTTGGTGCTTTTACTTTTTTATTAAAAGTTTATTTTATTTTTTACCCTTTTGAGTGGAATATGAAATGTTATAATCTCGATGTCGTTTAAATTGTAACATTGAAAACTTTGTCCCCTATTTTGCAACCCGTTGGTGGAATATTTTCTCCCAACTTATATGGGACCAGCACTGACATAACTGTTAAAATATTTATTGAAAAAAAAGGATCATTAAATCGGCCCATAATTGATGAAGATATCGCGTAACATCTGAACATATAAATAAAATAAAGTAAATTAATATAAGTGTCTGTCTGTAATATTGAAATAACTGCCTTATGTTGAGCCTATATATTTGCATGAATAACCGTTGTTAACGTTTTTGTCAGTCAGTCTGTCTGGGCTAATCTTCGGAATGACTGCACCGATTGTAATGAAACTTCACAAGCGGATAGAGAAAAATGCTAAGAGAGATTTAGGCTATATTTTATTGAAATAATATATTAATAAAATAATTGGTTCTTGGATTTTTAAAGGCGGATAATGGACCAATCTGCCAAATTTCATTGCAATTCGTCCAGCAGTTCAAGCGTAATTAGAAAAACAAACATGCAAACCGAATTTTTTTTTATAGAAGAGGGGGCAAACGTGCATACGGCTCACCTGATGGTAAGTGACTACCGCCACCCATGAACAACCGCTACACCAGGGGAATTGCAGATGCGTTGCCAGCCTTTTAGAAAGGTGTAAGCTCTTTTCTTGAAGGTTCCTAAGTCGTATCGGTCCGGAAAAATCGCTGGTGGTAATTGATTCCACAAGGAAGTTGTGCGAGGGAGAAAACTTCTTCTAAATCGCACAGTGGTGGACCGCCAATCATCCAGATGGTATGGGATGGTATCGCGAGTTTTGTCGCGATGTGCGATGGTGAAATTGAGCGGCTGGAATTAGTCCGACCATTTCCTCAGAGCACTCCCCGTGATAGATGCGATAAAATATGCAAAGAGATGCAACAAAATGTTTCAGTTTTATAATATTAGTATTATTTATTATATAGTCTCAGTTTAAATAAGATTGTATGAAATGACGACTGTAATAATCTTTTTATTTCTAGAGAACACGAGGAGTTCGGCTTTTGTCAGGTGGGAACGAGCAGTTCCCTTCTAGAAGATGATACCTTACTTTTAGGTAGTCCCGGTCCTTATACCTGGAGAGGAACGATTTTTACCCATGACACTAACGACGATCTTCTAGAAAGAGATATGTCTTTCTACATGGCTCCCGTTGAAGATGGCTTAAGTCCTGTGGAGAAATATAGTTATCTTGGTAAGTGTGAGGTCATTGTTTTTAAACTTAGGTTGCAATAAAAAATGTGTTTTTTTTAACACAGTCAACGGAAGGGAATCAGTTTAATTATAGGTTACATGAAAAAAGTGGAATGGTTTAGTGGTAAAATTTATCTATGACATATAATTTGATAAGGTATCCGAATTTCTATCACTCCACTGAGTGTCGGGGGGGGGGGGGGGGGGGGCTGGGGGGGGGGGGTTTGTCGCGTAAAAAACGTTACGTGATAGAACCGCGCTGAAACAGTTAATGGCTGCAGCAAGACATCGCTCTCATAGAATATCATTGTGAAATAGTAGCATTAATGTATATTGTGTAAGCATAATGTGTTTCGTATAGTAGCTATTGTGAACTGGACTCCCCTTTTTGCTGGTAACTAGGCATCCATATTTCTTCTTCTTAATTGACGGTAGAAATAGACTGACTTACCAGCAGGTGGACTGTTTGCTAGTTTGGAACACTTACTGATATAAAAAAACATTACACATTTAAATGCCTAATTATATAGGATTACAGTAGGTCAAAATAGGAAAAGCTTTAAATGTGATTTCTTTCACATTTTTTCAGGCATGTCAGTAACAGGCGCTGGTTTCTTCAACTCAGTACCTTCTTATGCGGCGGGGGCGCCAAGAGCGAAGGGTACTGGTCAGGTGGTGATCTTCAGCAAACGGGTCATCAAGGACTGGGGAAGAACAGATATCGATATCCTAGAGTACAATCTAACGCTGAATGGAGAGCAGTTCGGCTCTAGTTTTGGTTACGAAGTCGCTTCTGCTGATGTTAATGGAGATGGGTATGTAGTTCACATCTTAATTGCAACATATATAAAGTATAGATTAGACGAAGTGTCGAAAACTTAGTTTAAGACATATTTGGCATTTTTCACTCAGAAAAAATCGTTAACAACACCTGATTACCTTTGTCAGCGCATCAATTCTTTACTAGGCATGGATTGGTAGATTACACTATAATGGCGATCCTTAGCAAGGATTTGTGAGAAATAAACAGTTCGAATTAATATTGGCTCTGATTTACAATACTATGTAAAAAACTCTTAATTGCACATCAAGAAAACAAATTACATAATAAAAAACATGCGTGAGTGTCGTCCAACACTCGGTTGGAACGAAGTTCCTTTCGCAGTACATTATTATTGATAAACGTAATATGTTATTAATTAACAATTACAAATAAATGAATTACTAGCGTCCATTAAAATGAAGCCTCATTCAAAATAAAATAATATTTCCTTCATGGCAAGATAAATAAAAGTGCGTATTATTCCATCTCGCTTCCTTATAGCCGCCAAGGCCGTCTACACTACGTCAGAAGGGGTCGTGACGGAAAAATCTTACACTTTTTCTCGCCTAGCCATCCGTCAAATTCGTACCGTCCGATAAAGAACTTCGTTCCAAAAAATGAACATAGAGAGAAAACAAAAGGTGTTATTGCTTTACAGCAATTTTTCCAGACTACTTACAAAAAAAGAAATAAAAGGGAGAAAAGGTTGTGGGTAGGGTGCACTATGAACAATAACGATTTACCTTGGTAAATCAAAATCAAGTAAGTTTTGAAAAAGTTTCCTTCATTGGTCGAATGCTACGAATCCTCATTGGCACTTTCGTAGTCGATTTTTACAGCTCACGATAAAATGAGTTGATAAATTCTTTCATGCGGCTACAACACGGCTACGCGTGATATTTCGTTGAATGCATTCTGTAACTAATATTTTTTATATTAAATACTAAAATAGTTAATCTTCTCTTGCAGACTACCAGATCTATTAGTTGGTGCACCATTTTACTTTTCTCGGGACGCAGGTGGAGCCGTATATTTGTACCTGAACGTTAAAAATAGTCTACGTCAAGTGTACGACGTGAAATTGTCTGGCAAACCTGAATCTCAGTTCGGCATTGCAATAGCAAATACTGGTGATTTAAACAAAGACGGTTGCGAAGACATTGCTATAGGCAGCCCATACGAGGGGAATGGTGTTGTTTATATTTATATGGGAGATAGGAAAAAAGGCTTACACACGAAACCAGACCAAGTCATAGAAGCCGAGTCCCTTCCAAGAATTATGAAGACTTTCGGCTATTCTCTGTCCGGTGGTATTGATCTGGATGCTAATGGTTATCCTGATTTACTCGTTGGCGCTTACGAAAACGTGAGTATTATGTATTATTTTCATTTGCTAATTTCTACGTATGTTGATATAGGTATAATTAAGTCATTAATGTAAAACAAAATATGCAATGGAATAAACACATTTTAAATAAATTTTGCTCAAAATTAACTGGTTTAATCGAATATATAGTCTAATAAATAAATCGACTTACTAAAAGTATTGTATGGCAATTTATTACAAGGTATAATTTAATCATCAATAGTTAGAGTTTTTTTTATCAAATACTAGCGATCTACCCCTGCTACGTATGGGTAATTTCTGTATATTGACAACAGCGCCACCTACCGGGTCCCTAAATGTGAATTTAAATTAACTAGGAACCCATTCAAATACACACAAAATATTTCATCAAAACCGGTCGAGCCTATTTTGAGTTTTAGCGAGACTAACTGACATCAATTGATTTTTATTAAAAGAGATTATAATTTAATCATCTGTATTAAATGCTTTTCTTATCAAATATTATTTAGCATTACATTAGTATTTTATCTAAGGTGACATTTTTAGGTAATAACATTAAGGTATCTTATTACTACTTAATAATGCAAGGAAGCTAAGCTCGGTCGGTTGCTGGGCGGTAGAAATAGGAAGAGGATTGTACATACCGAACCAGGCAAACGCAAAAGCAGAAATAGAGTACAAATACCGAGAGAGTAGAGCATATGCATAATATATTTTAGAACACAACTCATTATTAAGTATGGTGAACAAAAAGTAATTTTGCTGTATCGTTCGTAAGACGACGCCGTGGCGCGGTGGTTTAGCCCGGTCCGAATCCCGCACGGATCTAGTATTTGTATGGCCTACAAATACTGGATCCGGTTCTGGATGTTTGTATAGACTACTACTACTAGACACTTTATTTTGGAAAAACTCCCTCACTATACGGAATGACGACCTGATGACACATGCAGGATATCAAAGATATCTACAGGTAACTTAGGAGATTGTATTTTGTGGTAATGTGAAGGCCAGTAATGGGCTTGTGAGGAATCGTAAGAGGAATGACGAGGGACAAACTTAGTCTAGCAGTTGACTATTAAACATAATACGATATTTAAGGAATATCCTTCTAATTTTTTTTTCATTTTGTTGTTTTACAGAGCAGCGTCGCACTACTTCGGACCAGGCCAATAATCGATATCAAGACTTCAATAAAACCATCGAACACAATTATAAACGTCGATCCATCGAAACAGGGTTGTGAAAAAGATCCTTCTTCCAGCTACACTTGCTTCCATTTCGAAGCATGCTGCATTATTAAATCTCTCGTGAAATCAACCCAAACAAATATGCACGAACTGAGTTACGTGATCGAGGCTGAAACCTTCGCTGGTGGGAGGAAATATTCCAGAGTTCTGCTGGATTCCGAGAAGACTAACATTGTGAATAAAACGTTACGTCTAGGCAAAGATGTTGAAGCTTGTAGACAGCACATTGTGTATTTAAAGAATAATACAAGAGATATTCAAACACCGATTAAGGTATGCAGAGAGCTATTTTTTTATCGATATCTTATGAAAATTAATATTGAATTAAGGCTTCAACAAATAAAGGATGCATTAATTTGTGTTACCGTTACAGCCAATTAAAGTCCACTGCGGAATATAGGCCTCCTCCATAGATCGCCTTATTTGTCATAGTTGCCACACTTGGCAAGCTATTAGGAAGACGCTGCTGCCCAGGTTGTGGTGATTTGTTTCCCTCTGTCGCCTCGAACGACACCCTCAGGATGATACGAGGTAGTGGATATTATTACACCGCCACTACACGGTAACAGTTTATTTGTGCATTAAAATAAAAAAGATATATAGATAGTGATATAAATACACTGCTATATCCTGTATAATATGCCATTTACGGCGAAAGCCGTGGTTTTTATACGAGTCAACTTTCTTATATCTTATTAATAACAACTCAAAATAATATCTAAAAATCGTAAAATAAATATTATACGTGGTAGAGCCATTCTGCAGCTATATTAGTAGTATAGTTGTAGCACGAGTGGGTCGGCTCGACCGGGGAAGGACCACACTCTCACAGAATACCATTGTAAAATAGCAGCTTAACGTTTCTGTGTTTCGTATGATGAGTGTAGAGAACCGGAGACCCTTTTTACTGGCAAAGAGGCATTCCATTATAGTCCTCACGGGTGACAACGCATCTGCATCTTGAGTCTTTATTGAGGATAGATGTAGATGTCTATGGGTCATAGTAACCACTTACCATCAGGTGGACTGTGTGCTCGTTTGTCACCCTATCCTATAAAAATATAATAATAATAAAAAAACTGCGGTTGCCAACCCGCCTGCCAAGCGTGGCAATCTATGGGGAATGAATATGTTCAGCAGTGGACTTTTGTTAGGCTGTAATGAAGCTGTATAAGCCGGTATAAAAGTCCATAGGATTGACAACGCATATGTAATATTTTTTACTAATAGTAGTAGCTCTCTTGTGGACGCTAATAATAATGTCCTCCACACCGCATTTGGTCATGACGGCTAGCCTCAACAGAGAGTAGCCAACTGCGCAGGACAGCGTTAAGTGCCCAAGTGTATGCCCAAGCACAAGTGCACTCTCAATTTCCTCACTTTCATAGTCCGATGGGGACGGTAAACCGACACGACCGGAGAAACATCAGCCACAGTACGAAAGGCAGAGAGTAGCCAACTACGCAGGACACTGTTAAGTGCCCAAGTGTATGCCCAAGCACAAGTGCTCCATTCCCTCACTTTCATAGTCCGATGGGTACGGTAAACCGACAGACACGACCGGAGAAAGATCAGCCGCAGTACTTGTTGATGAGCTTGTCGAGGTGCGGGGGTGAAAAACCACTACCTTCCCGACTCCGGTTTGCTAATGAGAATTTCTTAACAGAAAAACTCAATAACTAATTTTTGGCTCGACCCGGTACTCGAACCCAGGACCAAATGTTCAGTAGTCGCTTTTACAATCACTAGACCAACAAAGTAGAAATAATAATTAATAACTGTTATTAAATTATGCATGTGTCCAACTTTTTACATGTACTTATTATGTGATTTGAGCTTTGGGTTATGTTTAATCTCTTTTGCCAGTTCCTGGTGACTTACAAACTAGTCAACGTAGAACCGGAATACTCAACCATAAAACCGCTACCGAACATCGACGATTACCCAGTGTTGAATGCGACGGCCGTAACGGCATTCAGCGCAAACTTCCTTAACGACTGCGGTACGGATGGTGTGTGTGTCAGTGATCTTCGCGTTGACCCCATACTGTTGCTGCCCAAGTGTAAGTGTAAAAAACAGTTCATTGTATGAAATGTTAAGACAACTTTATCATCGCGATAGCGTGTTCACAAATAATTTTTGTCGGATATTGTATTTAACATTATAAAAATAATTCAATCTATGTTTTTTTTGCAAAATTATAATTGCAGAGACGTCTTATTTTTGGTTTAAAGTTAAGTGTCATATCCCATTTTTTGAAGATGTCTTGACGATGCGGCGGCGTCGTGTTTGCTTTAACTAGCTGGCCTCCTATTAGTCTGTCTTAAAGTGATATAAATATGTTTTTTTTCCACAAGTTTCATAAGTGCCGACAGAGAGAAGCGAAACAGGAGATGGGCAGCAGTATCTTCTTGTATTATAAAACTTTCCGGACAGATACAAGTCTTTTCAAAAAAGAAGTCTACTCTTTTTCTGCCGACTTCCAAAAAGGAGACGGTACTCAATTCGACTGTATGTTGTTTTTTATGTGTGTCACCTCATAACTTTTTACTGGGTGAACCGATTTCGATGATTCTTTTATTTTTATTTGAAAACTGTTACTTCTCTTGTGGTCTCATATGAATTTGATCAAGGTCAGACCAATAGTTTTTGAGTTATTCTTAATAACTTATATTGAAGTCGGCTGTACAAAATTTTTAATTTTAAATTATTTAGAGAGCAAAAGACAACGAATACGTGGTATAGCCACGCTGCAGCTATATTATGGTTATAGCATAAATGGGTCGGCTCGACCGGGGCACGCTCTCACAGAATACCAGCTTAAAATAGCAGATTCATGGTGCTATGTTACTCTTCCCTTGGTTTTGTAGTTGTTTATGGGCAACGATAGTCACTACTATCAGGTGAGTCGCGTGTTCGTTTGCCCTTATAAAAATGCCCTGTTCGTCTTATAAAAAAAAATACTCGTAAAAATAAAACCTGCGGTTACCAACCAGCCTGCCAGGCGTGACAACTATGGGAAATATTCCCCGTATGAAACTATCTATGGGGGAGGCCTATGTCCAGCGGTGGATTTTGGTAGGCTGTATTGATAATGATGATGACAGTTTTATCCAGAAATACATAAATCCCGCTGTTTTTACCTAAAACAAAGATATATATTTCATATAACGTAGCTTTGACGATGGATATGGGAAGATACTAGGATAATTCCCTTTAGAACCCCATTCCCCTGTTAAAAGAATTTCAGTAAGAATATTATGAAGTGTGTTATATCATATTCATACTGTGTAACCGTTAAATAAAAAGTGTTTTTTAACTCTGTAAAAATCTTTTAAAAATTAAATTATTTTGTTGTTGTTTTTTTTTACTATTTTTAGCGGAAGACGGCCAGTCATATGCTCTGACGTTAGGTCAAGAAGAAGAAGTTAAACTTGCTATATCCGTGGATAATTTAGGAGAGTCTGTTTATGAAGGACAGCTATTTGTTCAGCATCACGCAAGCTTACATTATATCGCAGCTAATATTAGCGTAAGTGATTTGTTTAAAGCAACGATGTTTGGTTTATTATCTCTCTCATACATCTAATATGCTTGTAATATGGGGCACGTTAATATAAACATTAATTTCCCATAAATCAAATTATAATATTACTATTTTAATCTTTAACATGAAACTGTATTCTAAATTTAATTATGTACTTTTTGTGAGATATACTAACCTAGTTTTTTTTTAATTTATCAGGATAAACACATGATATGTTCAAGTGTGAACAAAACAATAGTGTCGTGCTTACTCGAGAATCCTTTCAAGAAGCAGCCTGAGGGCGCTGCTCCCATTGTCATGAGATTCGATGCCAGAGTTTTAGAAGACAACGAGCCCTCCGTTACTTTCACGGTGTGGGCCAATTCAACTTCCAAAGAACGCTACCCTGGAAAAAAACCTGCTAAAGTCGAAGCCCGTATTATTAAGAACGCTGATCTTTTGATTAAAGGGTATGTATAACATGCTTTAAATTTAATTTGGCGACTGTTCGACATATATGTATATAGAGCGGCCGCCAATCAGAACAATGTAATACAAGAATGTTTGGTTGTTGTATTTAAGTTCATCATCATCATCATTATTACACCCCATCACAGGTTCACCGCTGAACATACCTCCCTCAAAGAACTCCACAAAGCACGGTCCTGAGCCACCTGCATCCGTTTGCTTCCTGCATCTCTTATTCCTACTCAAAGATCGTTACTCCAAAAAATCCAGCGGGGGACCGCCCTACTATTTGAGAAAAATTTTCCCACTGGTTATAGGTCCTTCGAGCTATATAGACTTAAAGTTCTTATTTCTCTTCTTTAAATTAAACGTCCATCTTGATCATGGGTGTTGCAAGTCGCGATTTGAAATTTAAATTACGATAAAATTCATGTTACATAGTGTATCTGTAAATGTAAGGAGTCTTTACTATATATATATATATATATATATATATATATATATATATATATATATATATATATATATATATATATATATATAATACGTGTCAATAATTGTATTATACTAGTTTTCAAATACACGCTAGGTACAGGCCTCATCTCATATCTGAGAGGACGCTGGAGTGTGGAAGAGTTTGCTGAGTATAGGCTTCCTCGCATTTCTAAGGGTTTAGGGCAACAAAAGTCTGCTGTCCCAATATGTATGACGAACTTAAAATTAGTCGCGATTCTACTACCGGTCAGTGCAGTCGCTTCATAATGATGTAACGGCTCTAATGAACCTACAATATTTTCCTACCGTATTTTCGCAAAATAATTCGAAATGGCGTGTCAACCTAAACGCTCCGAAACCATTGTAGTCCACGAGTTCCTGGCCTTTGTTGAAAAAAAATTGAAGGTCATGGACCAGGTGTTTCCGGAGCAAATACTGATGACAAGCTTCACCGAGGAAGAGATCATCCAAACGAAGAAGGTGTTAGCAGATTCAGCCGTAACCCAAATCCGTCTTATCACACGTCACAGGGATGGACGCGGTAAGAAAGACCTTCAAGACATCTTTAGGCTGTTCAATGAGACCGACCCTGATGACTTCCCAACTTTCGTCACACGTGATCTCAACAAGCTGCCTCGTTGTTCGATCACGTAGACGTAACCACATTGTTGAAAGACATCACCACGTTGAAAGCCGAAGTTACTGCGAATTCAACGCCATCGCAGAATGTAAATACGATTTTTGATTTACCGATGTTTGCGACTCCGTCACGCGATACCGTCTGTCAGCGGGTTGATGACCGTGAAACTAGGGCGACCTCGTTCGTCATTGCATCACCACCTCAGCCCTTGACTGAACCCATGAGTAGTCCTCCGCCGAAGCCAACCTCACAACAAGGGAAGACGTTTGCGGATGTTGCCCGAAAATCTACATAACCAGCATCCTCTAGTGGTCGAAAGCGAAAGAATGTGGAAATAAAATCAGTTCCAGTGGTGACCCAAAACAAGATTGATACGGACGGGTTTACTCTTGTTGAGAAGAGACGTCGGTCAAGACCGGTAGGAAGACCAGCGTGGGACCGCCAAAATAAACGCGAACACAACTCTGCGTGTTGTGGAGCCAACCATACAACTCTACATCTCCCTTTTGGACAAAAGTACGTCGGGAGAAGACGTCCTGCGTTTCGTGGAAGAACGAAGCCGAATCCGCATTGAGGATCAGAACTCTTTACATTTGCAGCGTCTGGAGTCTAATAGGTCAACGAAATTCAAATCTTACGTACTCCAGGTTCCTGCAAAATACAAAGAGACATTCTTTGCTCCCGATTTTAGGCCCTCTGGGGTAGTGTTTCGCCGATATAGGGACGTGCCAAAGAAGAAATTTCCCTAAATAGTGTTATGATGGGAGGACAAAAAATTTCGCTAAATGGCTGGGTTGGCGACGGTGAGTTTACTCATCCAGGTAGGTGCTAGTTGAGTGACTCATTGTTAGTATACATAGAATGTTTCAGCCTAATCGGGTCATTAGCTTTTGAGTTATCAACGAGTAAACAAGTCAATCGGGAAGAAACTAGACACTATGGAGAAAATTGAATATCGCACCGTCATTAAGTTTGTCGCTAAATAAGAAAAGACACTTTAAATCATTTTCAAGAGATGTCAGCTATTTATGGGGACTCCGTTCTTGGGAAAACCATGATTTATAAACGGCACGCCCTTTTCAAATAAGGGAGGGACTCCATTGAACACGACCCCCGACCTGGACGGCCGATTGAGGCTATCACGCCAGAAATAATCGGAAAAGTTAAAAAACTTGTATCGGAAGATGCCCGGCTAATAAAAAAAAGCTTACAGCATTACTTGGAGGATCAAAAACAACTATTTAAAACATGCTACATCAATACCTTGGCATGACTAAAGTCTGTGCAAGATGGGTTCCGCAAATGCTTCCTGCGCAGCCAAAAACACGAGCGCGTCGAAAGTTGTCACGAGTTTTTGGACCGCTGTAGAGAGCATAGGGAGGAAGTTATGGCCCGAATTGTAACTGGCGATGAAATTTGGGTTCACCATTATGAACCTGAGTTAAAGCAAGAGTCGATGCAGTGGCATAAAAAAGGCACACCCTTTCTAAGAAGTATAAGGTCATGGCGACCATCTTTTGGGATACAGAAGGTATCCTTTTGATTGATTAGAAGGAACGTGGTGTTTCCATAGGGAGAATACTACGCTTCTTTATTAGAACAATTAAAAGAAGCTATTAAAGAAAAAAGGCGAGGAAAGCTTACAAAAGGCGTGCTCCTTTTGCACGAGAATGCGCCCGTACATACAAGCCATATTGCGAAGGCTGCCATTCACCGGTGCGGTTATGAACGATTGCGCCACCTACCCTACAGCCCAGACCTGGCCCCAAGCGACTATTATTTGTTTCCAAAAGTGTAGAAAGAACTGCGTGGGAAAAAATTTGGCGACGATGATTTTTTTTTGCAGTATAATTGAATATTTTGTGCAGTATAAAGTAAGTATATGATATGTCCGCACTGCACAATAAAATTCGCGAGTTTCGCGTCTCTCTCTAGCTAAAATTATTTTTGTCCAATTCTTATCTTGATAGGTAATAGCCCAACCAACAAGTCGTAGTAATTTATGGAGTGATTTTATAGCCATTCTGTAATATCTGAAAATCTTTTCGGCCCTGTCCGCATTGCGATATTTCACCGCGCGATTTTTTTCTCGCAATTCTGTAACACATAGAATCATATAGGTGTAGCCGCACTGGCGGTAAACAAATCGCGCGGGAAAAAAATCTGTGATTTGATGCAAACTGAACGCGAAGCGATGCGATTATAACTCTGCGCGAATATTTGTGCAGTATAAAGTAAGTAGGACTATAGTGATTTCTTTAGTTTCATTTAAATAAGTAGGACTATGTTCGCAATGCGGAATAAAATTCGCGCGTTTCGCGTCTCTCTCCAGCTAAAATTATTTTTGTCCAATTCGTATCTTGATAAGTAATAGCCCAACTAACAAGTCGTAGTAAATTATCGAATGATTTTATAGTCATTCTGTAATATCCGAAAAACTTTTTACAGTATTTTCGCAGCCCTTAATGTTTTCTGTAGTAAAATACTTTCATAGGTCTTAAGCCAGTGAATCCAATGTTCATGACATCTTTTGATACGTCTATCACGCCGCCGCCATAGTATCAGGTAAATTAAAAACTTCTGTTGTTCATTTTTAGACGTGCGTTTCAGCGAGGAACTGCATCAAGCTGACTAAAATCGTACGAAATTTTATTCGCACTGCGTACTAGTTGTAATTCCTGAAATTCCTCATTCTCCTAATATAATCATTATCCTTCCCTGTCATTCCGCGAACTTTATGGCCTCCCCTCGTATGTCTATAATTTATATATATTTTTAGGTTAAGGTATATATTACTATGGGCCAATGGTATTCATTTTTAAGTCCTTTGATGCCTGAAATAAAGTTATTTTATTGTATTATATTAATTAAATTAAGTAAGAGGCGACTAACACGGTGTGCTTGCATGATATGAAATTTAAGACGAACGCTCACCCCCTGAGTTATAAAACCTCTTTTTTAAATATTCTAGTGTAACATACATATTTTTTTATTAAAAAAATTGTAACATACATATATTATTAATAAAAGTGTTAAAACGATAACATCATTAAATAAATATTTCGTGTAGAAATCATAACCTATTTACTTTTTAATCCATACAAATAAATAAAATTGAAGTGTCTGTTTGTAATGTCGAAATAACAGCCTTTTACTATATGCATATGAAAGTATATACGGTACTTATAACAAAGACACTATTTTTAAAATTTTTGTCTGTCTGTCTTTCTGTCTGTCTGTCGGCTAATCTCCGAAAGGGCTGGACCGATTTTGACCGTACTTTCACTGGCAGATAGCTGATGTTATAAGAAGTAACTTAGGTAACTTTTATTTTAGAAAAATAATTAGAGTTCTGCCCAAAAAAATAAAACCCATGAAATCCAATCGTAATAAATTACGCGCGGGCGAAGTCGCGGAGAACAGCTAGTTTATTAATAAGTAGAGAAACAAAAGAGCACCAAGACTTATACAGCTTATAAATACTACTGATGCCCAACTAGTAAAACAGCTTTCAAACAACCAAGTTAATCGCCCCAGATGGCCCAAATGAAATGTCTCATAAGCAGTGATAGTACTGGCCGTCTCAAATCGTAACATGGTAGAGACTGTACTGGTGTACATAAATAGCTGAAAAGTTAAGAGGTTACCCTACAAACTAGTAAAATAATCAGTAACTGTTGGACCTTTTCTTTATTAATTTCTATATCATGTTAATATACACATTTAAAATTTATATTTTTGCTGAAGTTACAAATGCCACACTCGGCGATTATAATGTGTTCAAACAAAGACTTGACATTTAGTTTTATAATTTTTTTTTCGATATAATTAACTGACATTCTATAGTAAATGAACGATATCGATCAAGGTAATCAATCAAAACGTGTATAATTTTAGTACAGTAAGGCCGGAGCAGGTGTTCTACGGCGGCGAAGTGAAGGGGGAATCTGCCATGACTTACTTCGACGATATCGGTACACGAGTTGTGCACACGTATCAGGTAAATTAAAAATTAGTATTGTATATTATTTCGAATCAAGTATTATAAACGATCCTATGGTTTTGAGAGAATCTTCTCTACGAATTTTACTTCGCGAGTCTTGGGTTCGAATTCGAAACTTTCAACATAAGAAAAATATATCGTTACAATTATGAAGTAAAGTTCATTTGATAAAAAAACTGTTTTTCAAAGTTTAAAATGAGGCGTAATCGTATCGCTATTAAAAAGAATTATCCAAATAATTGTATTAAATATTACGCGTACTTAATAGCACTGACTATTTTTATTGATTATACCTACTCTAAAATATACTAACATAGTTTTAATTTCTTCATCCAGTCCTTTGGAGATTATATAATTACTATTATCATCCTTAATAGCCTTTTTAAAATCCTAAATATAATATGATTACTAACTTTTCAAGGTCATAATATCGTCTAGAGTATTTTTTAAGCATTTTATTCCTTTAGAATGGAAATGTATATAGATGGATACATTTTTTGATTGCAATCTTAACTAATAGTTTCAATTATATATTAATTACAAATTCATGTTTGCAGATATTTAACAAAGGTCCATTACGAATGTCTTCGCTCCAAGTGGTAATTTCATGGCCTCATCAAGTTGCTTCGGACAGTCAGCAAGGCAAATGGCTGCTATACCCTGAAGATTTACCGACCGTCGATGGAGAAGCTGGTTAGTCATGATACTATCTTAAAATATTGAATAAGGGCAATCGCTTGAGTTTTGAAACCATATTATATTTGTTATAATTTTTTTCATCTCTTTTCAGATCAAAATAATGGGGAATGTTTTCTATCCGATGGAGAAATAAATCCATTAAAACTTACGATGCGCCCCGGAGCCATGGAACCTTTGCTTGAGAATCTTGAAATGGATACATTCCTTACTACAGGAAAGTTGAGTATTAGCTCCAATGAGAAAACATCTAATAGAACGAGGAAGATTACAGAATATTCGACTGCACATGATAACAAAGTGAGAAGAAAGAGAGAGAACGAAGTCGTTAAGGCAGAAGCATACACGGACAAGGATGGACAGAGAAAGCATGTTGTTAATATGGTGAGGAATAATTCCGGTAATGATTTGGTACTCATAAGAATAGCAACGTTATACTTAACGTCAATCTTAAAAGATGTCGCTGCTATCTATGAATTATTATTATTTATTTCAGAGCTGTCAAAAGAAAACAGCCAAATGCATCCAATTCCACTGCATCATCTACGGACTACGTCGCATGAAGTCTAGCAGCATTACGATCCGAGCCCGACTCTGGAACGCCACGTTGGTGGAGGACTATCCACGCGTCAACCACGTCAATATCGCCTCTACAGCTGCAATACGCATACCTGATAACTACAATATACACCAAAACAAGCATCATAACTATATTGCCACGGTAAACAGCAATTTTCGATAATTATAACTTACATGTGGCTATCCTTTCGATGAATATCATCGTCTCAAATGTCTAGTGTTGTGAGAATCCAAATGTGAAAGAAATTAATTTCTTCACATTCTTCACATTTCGCCCTATGATTATTTAATTTTGACTTTAGTATGAATTATGATGATACTCAATTTCATCATACCCTTAAACTATCTCGAAAAACAAAATTTTAAACTTGAACAAGAGGCGTTTATCTATCCTTTACCATATCAAAGATTGATTATACTGCATCAGACTGTGTCGTGTTTCAATATAAATAAATGCGCCATGTTTATATAATTTTTATAAATTTATAACTGTGTGTATTTTTATAATTTAGTTAAAAAATTGTTACGATAACTGTTACATTGTAACAAAAATTGGGGGAAGAGAATCTTAAATATCGAGCATTAATGACTTCTTCTTAACCCGACTTTTTCACATTTCATATGTAAATGTATAGTCGCAGTGAAACTAAAGAAGTCAGTTTTTTTAACATATCATCGAACATTCCGGTTGCGTAGTGTCCAGAACATAAAATAATAATTTCACGGAGGTTCACATTGTATCATTTTATAACAACATTTTTAACAGTGGTAGAGCCACGCGGCAGCTTTTGCTGTCGCACGGATGGGCCGGCTCGAACCGGGGTAGTACCACGACCTCACAGAAAACCAGCGTGAAGTAGAGATTTACCTCTGCGTTTCGCTTGGTAAGTGCAGGTGGCCGGGAGGCCCGTTTTACTGGAAATGAGGCATTCCATCTTAGTCCTCACGGGTGACAACGCATCTACATTTTGATTTGTAATAGAGGATAGATGTAGATGTCTATGGGCCGCAGCAACCACTTACCATCAGGTGGACTGTGTGCTCGTATGTCACCTTTATTCAATTAAAAAAAATGCCCTTTTCTTTACTTCTCTTCTCTCATCAAAATATTGAGTTTATAGGATATAGGATATATAATCGTGTTTGCTATTTTTTTATTTATTTGCAACAAAGCTGAACAGATAAACAAGTACTTATTTAAAAAAAATATGTAACTCTATAACTCTAATAGTTTAACACAAAGTTATTTTGTAATTAAGATATATACGGACTTTTATTAGGAGAAATAATGTTTTATTATGCTTTGTAAGTAATTGCTCAAATGTTCACTCTTATATTTTTACAGGTTGAGACGGTAGCATATCCAGACCTAAAGATTAGCGAACCTTCGGAAGTGCCTTTATGGGTTATAATAGTGTCAGTGATAGTGGGACTCATTGTGCTGATTTTGTTGATAATCGCACTATGGAAATTAGGCTTCTTTAAAAGAAGTCGACCAGACCCAACCCTATCCGGGAACCTCGAGAAGAACAATCACGAATCCAGTCCATTCATAGGAAGAGATAGAAACAATATTCGATAGCTAGGAAACTCTATTATCACAGATGGAACTTTAAAGTCCAAACGTGGAACTCTTGTCTAAGTACAATTTTTTCGTCGGACAGTGTACATACACGGTGATGAACTTTTTCACCGAAAGCTTTATTTATATATGACGTGTTTGTAAGTTATATACCTAATTTATAAATATCATTTGACTGTGATGTCTTCGTAGAGGAAATAAAAATGCGTGTATGTGATGTTAAGAGGAGATGGTGTATTGTTTTGTTAATGTTTGCACGAACCCTATAATAAAAATATGATTGTTTTATTACAAATGCATTTCTTTAGTGAATAATGAGAAATATAATTGTTTATATAATCGAATGAATTCGATGTATACTTCTGTAAATAATTACTTGCCTTAACAATTATTTATGATTTAGCATAAGCGTACAACTATATTGTGACTAGATTTTTTACTAGTCAAAAGATTTGTTATATTATGTTGTACTATGCGTGCACTTTCAAAAAGGCTGTCGAATTTTGAGTGCAGTAAAGCTAAACAATTTTAATGAATATTTGTTTTTACTTAAATTGTTGTTAATTTGATGTTGAGAATTAAGATATAAAATAACAATCTTTTCCTTTGTGAACTTGTCAGTTCATATTATCCAGTGCGCATAGTATTTAGGTTTAGTGGCATCCAAGGAGAATGAGTGTACGGTCACAAATCAATAATATTTTTATTTTTATCTAGGTAATTTAATAAACGTAATCAATGACAAACTACTTAAATAACCTACAGACGTACTTAAATATTTATAATCTACAATAAATACATACAAGCTTTTTGCATATTCTATGACGCATTGTGAAATATGGTGAAGTATGTTTTACTGGTAGTATTGAGCATGAACTATGTCAGAAGAAAAGGCCTTCTAACTAAAGAAAATATTTAGCTGCGGCGCCAAAATTTCACAAAATTTTACATTTGATGTCAAATTCCACACCAAACCTTTAGTTCTCATATTTTCGCGGACCTTTTTCTTGAAACAGATTCTAGTTTAAATCTAAGACTAAATATAAACTACTTTATAATAAGGCCGAATGACTTTGAAGTTAATATGATAAGGCATGTAAATATATTAGTAGCTTTATTTAGGATTTTATACTAAATTTGTTTGTGTCAGTGACTTGTCAATATATTAGATACATATGGCTTCCATTTTTTATACATGTCATAAATATCACTGCCAATATTGGGCTGATTCCTATCCTATATAATAATTATATATAAAAAGTACACAAAGTACGTACTTAATTTAAATTTGACCACCTAACTGTTACGCTGGTTGTGACTAGTTCTGTTTTACAATCTATATCTATCTCTTTGCCTACGGTACTTAGTATGTACAATCAGTTATAAAGATAATAAAAGGTGCCATTTCATTATTTTGTTTTATTTTTAAACGTTCCTTTCAAGTTTTAAGTCGCACAAATTTTCTTTTTCGACAAACCTCGCCACGGACTTCGGAACCGAAACTTGATCGTACACTTGGTCGTATGTGGAAGCTCAAAAGGAGTGTACGGAGTTCTTCTGAGTAATAAAATCATTTACGAGGATATCTGTAACAACTATAACCAAACAGTAGATCAGTAGGCTGAAGAGGCGATCGGTCGGCCCTGTGCCCCCATGTATCCATATAGATCGATCGATGAAATCTATACCCGATGTGTAAGAAAGATTCTCAGCTGCCAAAGAAAGGGCCTCGTACTGCCAGGCGCAGTGTTGGGCGAACCCTAGAAAATGGTGTAAAGACTTGATGAAACATGCAGGTAGTCGAATGATGTGGATGGCTCGGGACCTTTATAGCAATCTATGGGAAAGGCTTATGTTCAACAGTGGACTTGCGATGGGTTGTAATGCTGAATGTTGATAATGATTTCAGTAAGTACTAATAGTTAGGACCGTCTTCAATAATCACGGGAAAATGTTGTAAGCTGTTCTTTAATGGACTTAGAAAGTGAACTTTACCCGAAAAGTACCATTAAAACCTACGTACTATATAAAAGAACGAATTCACAGCTCTTGTGCCATAGAGAAATTGTGATAGTGACATTAAAAGAGTTTTTTTTTTTAATGAAAGTGATGGCAAACGAACTGCGGCTCACCTGGTGGTAAGTTTCCTTCAGTAATTTACATGTGCATGTATTTTTCTTATATTTTTATTATATTTTGCTAATTATACTTCGTTGATTTTCCTACTAAAACAGTAATTATTGAAATATGACGAAGTGAATAATGCTATATCAAAAGTAGTACACTGGTTTATAACGTCAATAATTTGCTTTTGAACGGTAATAAAACGAAAAGTATTAAATTTACAGTTACATGTTAAAGAATTGAATACCAATGTGCTTTTAAATGGGGAGAAGCTGGGTCTTGTTCAATCCACTGTTTTTCTCGGAATTACAGTAGACGCGAAGCTTCAATGGAGCCCTCATAAATCTTAAACTAGCTAGCAAACTTAGTTCTGTAGCATATGCTGTAAAAAAAGATTAGATGCCTTACATTTTTTTTATAGCATAAGGGTGGCAAACGAGTACACAGTCCACCTAATGGTAAGTGGTTGCTGTGACCCATATACATCTACATTTATCCTCAATAAAGAATCAAAATGCAGATGCGTCGTCACCCGCAAGGACTAAGATGGAATGCATCTTTTCCAGTAAAATAGGTCTCCGGTTCTCTACACTCACCATACGAAACACAGCAGTGTCAAGCTGCTATTTTAAGCTGGTATTCTGTGAGAGCGTGGTCCTTCCCAGGTCGAGCCGACCCATTCGTGCTACAACTATACTACTAATATATCTCCAGCATGGCTCTACCACGTATTAAAATTACATATGTTGAAACAGCTAGCTTAGCTTATTTTAGTTATTTCCATAGCGTAATGTCATATGTAATCTTGCTATGGGGTAATGCGACTGACATTGAAACTATCTTTGCTTTAGAAAAGCGAGCCATAAGAGCATAGATAAATATATATGTAGCAAGCTACAGATACGACAGTTACTTTTGGTTACTTTTAGTCAAGTTTCCCAACTATGCCTTTTGGCGCTGCAGTTGCCCATTTTGACAGATGAGTAATAAAAAAAAATATAGCTTAGAGATTGCAAGCACACATCCTTCAAATCATCGATATCGATGTTTAGTGGTGTTCTTATTTTATCGATATCGATAGAAGTGCATTATACAGAAATAATATTACTTAATGAAACACATAATACATTAACATTTATTTTTTATTCAAGCACACCTACATCATATACATACGTAATTTTAGGATTAAATTATGCATACGAGCAATTTATAACCCGGGTCGGAAGGAATCCCTTAGAAAAAAATTAAAGTAAAAAGTATATTAAATTTGGATTAATATATGTACACAAAAACAAAAATAGTTTTATTAAAAATTGTGATGTACATTCTGTAAATACTAGGAACAAGCACAAGTTAGTTATACCAGTTACTAGACTCCAAAGAGTCGGTAATTCCTTCATGGGGCAATGTAAGTCCCAGAAAATATGCAGACCTTATCTATCATAAGAGATCAGAAGATATAAAGGTTAAATAAACATGAAAATAAAATAAAATTTTGTTTATTTTATGAGTACGAAGCTCGGCCTTTGATCTGATGAAAGCGACAAGGGGGGTACGAGTATTATCTTTTTACAACGAAATCGAAATACTACACCTACCGCAGTATTTTTTGGTTTTTCTTCGGGTGCTAGAATCACCAGGCTGCTCTGGAGTATGCCACATACAACTGATCCTGGGAGAAGCAGTTTTCTCTCAAGTCTACTCCCGCTTCATTAACAGTTTGACCTTGATCTTTGTTAATGGGTATCGCGAAGCGAACATTGATAGGAAACTGCAATTTCTTGAATTCGAAGGGGTAATTTGATGGTATGAAAGGAATCCTAGGTATAAATACAGACTCCCCTCGAAAACAACCTGTCAGTGTAGTTGCTTCGATTACATAGCCATGCAATGTTTTCAGTTGCAATCTGGTGCCATTGCATAATTTTGGTGGATTTATATTGCGCAGCAACATAATTGGAGCACCAACTCTCAATTTTAATATGTAAGTTAGAAGACCGGGAGGCTTCAGTGTATTCAGGAACTCTATAGATAATGAAAGGCATCATCGGTGTTTATCATTGAGTCGGCGGATCTATATTGATATTCGACCCCTTCGAATGATCTCAAAAGTATTTCATTTATGACTGAGGTTTATTCGTTTTTTTTTTTCGTGTTAGGATGGTACGCTCGCATAACCACTGTGCAGGTTTATCGTGAATATTATTAATTTTTGGGTAAATTTTTGCTATAAGCTCTTCTACTGTCAAAGCAATTGTACCTAACTCTGTAGGGAGAATTATATTATTATCCAGTTCCGGGAAATCATTTCCTATTTTAAGCAACAGGTCTGAGAACTGTCCGGCAATAACATCTCCCCTAAAATGGACTCTCATACTTTTGGTAAGGGTCAGTTTTGTCACAGAAGGCCACAAACGAGACCGCTTCCGGCAAGATTTAACTTCGTCTGCTCGTGTTCCTCTGGACACGACTGCTAAAGTCTGCCAGAAATCGCCTGCTAACAATACAGTAACTCCTCCCATTTGACAATGATTATACCTAATATCTTGTAAAGATCTATTTAGGGCTTTGAAACCCCTTTTATGAGCCATAGTACTCTCATCCCAAACAATTAATTTCATTTTGCGGAGTACTTCTGCCATATTAGTTTGTTTGGGTTAGTCATCGGATCATATGCACTAACAAAGTGCCAAAATATGCAAGCAAATATGCACTAAAAAGGCCGAAATATGCACTTAAAACTGTTGATATGCCCAAAATATACACAATGCAAAATTAAAAAACCGTTTTTATATTTATATATTTCAATTAAAGACGGTATAATAACAGCGAAATGTTCTTAAAACTATGCATAGTTTTTATGACAATATTTAATTTTTCCAAATTTTCGAACGCATTTGTCACCCAGTATCAATTTGTACGCCGAAAACCACCTCTCTACATCAACTGACGTCATTGTACAAAATTTAAAATTTGGCCAGTCAGTTCAGTCAGCCACTGCGCTCGCGCCCTACACTTCTTTGTCACCTAGGTCCCTCGTACTCCTCGTACTCGTCACGTAAGTCCCAGTACTAAAAGAAATATGCACGATTGGAAAAAAAGGCTAAAATATGCATTAACGCTGTAATTAGAGACTTACATGCATTTGCATATCCAAATATTCAAATGTATAAAATCCGATGTCTAGTTGAGTGGGGTTTCGGTTTGTATCAAATTGAGAGGAAGTTTAAACGCGGAGTGTTTTACTTCTTTCCAGCAGAGTGGCAGCAATTCCGGAAGATGTGACCGCTAAGGCGATATCACGATTGCTTCTCACTTTGGCCAACAGTAAATTTAATAGAAAAGTCTTGCCTGTTCCACCAAAGCATCCAAAAAAAAAAGAGATATCTTTTACACCTGCGTCGATACTGGAAAGTATTTTATAATAGATATGTCTTTGTTCGTTGGTTAGAGGGCCTTCACTACTCGACACCAGTTCTGCTAAGGAATTGAGATCGTAACTTGTTTCCTTCAGGTAGTCCCGGTTATTGTGTAAGCTTTTAGACTTTTGAGGCTGAGGCAACCCGTACCGCTGTGGGCTTTGTCCTCCTAATGCATTAGGAGGATAAAGCCTATAAAATATTTTTTTTAAATCAAAGGTACTAAGGAGTATTGATATCAACTTCGATGCAAATCAACCCCAAAATAACCTTCTACCCCTTTTAACCTCGTTAGGCGATGAGTTTCAATAAAATACGAAAGACGTCTTCCATCAATTCGGTTAAAGTATGTTTATGCTAAATTGGAAGTGGATTGGACCAAGGAATCACGTTGTACTATACAAAGTTAGCGCCCGTTTTTCACCCCTTTAGGCTTAGGTTTAGGCTGTGCGTTGAACCGTCAGTCAGTCATTCCAGACAAAGCATTTTATATGTACTTTTATGCAAATGACATATCTTTAGTTATATATTCGTATAAAAAAAGAGGTTAAGAAAGATGAATTTGATGATTAGTAGTGTCACTACAACATTGAATGATTGTGTTTTTCTCAGCTCTTCGTAATTTTGCTAACAATGAATCTTATCTGCTCACAAGGAAACATATTCATTCATTACAACCTCAAAAGTCCACTTCCACTTCAGAACAAAGGCCTTCCGTATAGATTGGCTCATAGGGGTGATATTTGTCGTAACTACCACGCACGGAAGGCGAGTTGCCTATCACAATTTTTATTACTTTTAGTTGCTATCAGTAAAACGTTGCTGCCCATCTCATCAAACATATTGTAATAGTGTTTGATAATTCAAATACATTAATTAATTGATAATAAAAGGTTGATGTTATTCAAACCCTTTTAAATAGGGTAGGTAAACATTTAGATCATTAAAGACAATACTAAATATCAGCTCTCTTTATGTTTTTTATTTTCAAAACCAAATTATCTTACAAGGCTGGAATCTCAATTGATTTTCTTGTACTTTCTTTAGCCTTTTCAAAATTCGCTGCACAAATTCTTTTTCAAGAATGCGTTATCGGGCACGAATTACTTATAATAGTAGAATAAATTAGGACAAATTTTACGGTTTATAACACGTTTAATTTAAAGTATTTTTTACACATATAATCCGTATTTCATTCAATAAAATTTAGTTTTTTTTTTCTTAAATAAAATAATCCCTATATACAATTTTATTCAATGTGTTTTTTTTATAGTATAGGGTGACAAACGAGCACACAGTCCACCTGATGGTAAGTGGTTGCTGTAGCCCATAGACATCTACATCTATCCTCAATAAAGACTCAAGATGCAGATGCGTTGTCACGCGTGAGGAATAAGATGGAATGCCTCTTTGCCAGTAAAAAGGATCTCCGGTTCTCTACACTTACCATACGAAACACAGCAGCGTTAAGCTGCTATTTTACGCTGGTTTTCTATGAGAGCGTGGTCGAGCGTATAGTACGAATGGGTCGGCTCGCCCGTGGTCCTTCCCCGGGCGAGCCGACCCATTCGTACTACAACTATACTACTAATATAGCTGCAGCATGGCTCTACCACGTAAAAATGTATACTACACACTATAAAACTAAGAAATCATTAAGAATAGAATTAGTATGTCGAATTTAATAATTTATATTCAATATACCTTATAATTATACTTACCTCATTCCCAGGGATTACTTAATCGTGTATTCTTAGTTTATATCATATAGCTGCAGCGTGATCACGTATAAAGCCACTTATTGTTTTCTTACTTATTTTCAAAACTGATAGACAAAAAGGCAGGTTTATGAGCATAGAATCGAGACCCTCGCATTAGTAAGCCTATCACCAATACATGGGATTTGAGTTCGGCTAATTTAGATATATTTTTCAGCATCAGTTGCATCTCAGAGTCTCGTTGGTCAAATAAGAGGACGCATGACGGAAAAGGTGACGTAAATTTGAGAAGCACAAGAATTTTAGTTATTATTAGGAACCGAAATAAATACAAATCTAGACTAATGATTTTATTTATTAAAGGATATTATAATATTTTGGTGGACAATATAAAGCTTTGGTTATTAATTTGAAAAAAAAATATTGTCACTTTTTGATATTATAATAACAATTTTATCTTTTATAAATAATTTTAAATATGATTACATAATAAGACAATATAATATGTTGATATTATTGTAAAATATTTTATAATTATTTCCTAGTGCTGTAGAAAAATAGAAATTTCTTTCAATACTTCTTGGTTTTAATTACATAATATTACAAAATTTATCGTATTGTATTTATAATAAAACTTGTATTATTCTATATTATTTTATGATGATCTTATAAGTACGTAACACTTAAAAATGAATAAAGCTCTAGTGCAGACTAGGAGTCGTAGCCATCGAAAATATATTTAGTATGGTTTCTCATAACTGCTGTGAGGCGGTGTTGACAGTTTCTGAAAGCAACATAAGAATGTTAAAATATATATTATATAATACCACACGATTGCAAATATGATGATGAATAATTATATTGTAGCTCAGGGTTTAAGCGCACGCCGTATTTTGCATAGTGCTCGGTTCGATTACCGCCAACTCAAATGATTGTATGTGATTTATCACATACTTGACGGCGAAGAAAAACTTCTCTGGTCTTATCAATAAATAATTTAAGGACATAATAGTAATAGTCCACTGACACGCACTGGCGTGATTATGTAATCGCGGTGTAAGGATATCCACTACCCCAAATCGTACCCTGGTTGTCTAAAGAGGCGACAGAGAGAAACTAAAACAGAAGATGGACATCATTTTCCTGATAATAACTCAAAATAATTTAAAAAACTGTGGTTGCCAACCCGCCTGCCAAGTGTGACAACTAAGGTGTAAAATCCCATCTATGAGGCAAATAATTTGATTTTTATAGGTGGTAATGGATGAACATGCAATGGAGCACCGCGGCGGCTATTGTTTCATATCCCTCTCAAAAATAAATGGAGGCCTGTGCCCGGAAAGTATTTAGGCTGTTCTTGAACTTTAACTATATATTGCATAAGTATAGATACATTGACATAAACTCTCTCTCTCTCTCTCAATCTGACTTATCACGCAGCTTTTCGGAATGTATCCTTGGAGTACACTGACCGCCTTCAGTTGTTAGCGGTTGAATTTTCCCCGAAACTCAACTATGGGTGTTTCATTGAGTCCAGGGCCAAAGTAGCCGCAAGGAAACTGGGTGTCCTTGTAGGGGTCCGGATGTTTGCGCCGGGGCAGCTTCTTGCCTTATAAGTCCGGTCGTAGATGGAGTACTGCGTTCACATATGGGTTGTGTCTGCAAAATGCCACCTTGCAGTGTTGGACTAAGTTGAGAGACGTACTAAGAGGTTCATTGCTTACCTTGATTTGGTTGAAACCACTTTAGTCAGCCTCGAGCACAGGCGCAGAGTAGCCAGCCTGTCGATATCTTATAAGATGCATTTCGGTTAGTGTGCGCAGGAATTACACGCTTTAATTCCTCCCTCTCCGCTCCACCATCGGACGACCAGGCGGTCGGCGGGTCTTCACCCCTTTGTTGTCGATATTACACGCATTAGAAACAAACAGTTTGCTTCGTCTTTTGTAACGCATACAGCAAAGGAGTGAAATAATTTGCCAGCGTCTATCTTTCCGTCCGAATGCAATCTGGGTGCCTTCAAGGCAAGAGTGTATAGGCTTTTGTTACGCTAAAACAGTGCGATTTACCATCTAGGGCTTCATCACCACTTATGACCAGGTGGGATTGTGGTCAAGCACTGGCTTTTAATAAGTTAAAAAAAATAATGTTCTCGTTGGTATTAACCTACATATAATTAAAAAATTATTTTACAATTATGTACTCTAAATTTGGCCCATCTTTCGCGTCGCTTGTTCATTTTGCCATGCACTTCTGTAATACTCTTTCCTTATTCATTCTTTCTACGTGTCTTAACCACCGAAGCATTCAGAAAATATGTGTTAAATTTAAAATATTTACCGATGTCAAGTTCATGGCCATCCATTAGATGTCAGGCGTAGGCGATGAGAGAGTGCGTGGGCATGAACAAGCGTGACACGTAAAGTATAATAAGGGCGAGGAACATCAAAAACATGAGGTAGCCATTTTCGAAAAACATCAAATACGTGAGGTACCCATTTTCTACTTAGCACACTCATTGAATATGGCTGAATACTAGAAGTAATATTGTCAATTTTATAAATAAATCTTCGTTTTATTAAAATAAAATCATAAATATATTTGTTTCTCCTGTATATTTATAATCATCATTAACGCAATGTATTTGTGTAAGTATATTCTTTGTATGCTGTTTTAAATTGTTTGTTCGTTGTGTTGTATGTGACTAATAAATCATTAATTCATCATCAACATCATCAGTTTGGACTTTGGTTTAAAATCTATAACTTTAGGATTGCTAATGCTAGTAATAAAATTAAGGATGCCTTGTTAGTGGGCCTACTTTACTTTATTTCATGAGTATTTTATACCTTGGATATATATACACTTGATGGTTTACCTATTTACGAGAGATGTTAAAAATTAAAACTAAATTGCTGGGATTTATTGCGTAGGTACTATAAAATCTAAGACAAACAAACTCCTGGATCTACAGTAATAAAATAGATACCTTCATTAATTATTATAAGTATTTACTATATTTTATTAATAATAAATGTAGATAGGTCCGATTATATTCAAAGAAACCACGAAAATTATAAAGCTTTATGCTTATGTTAGTCCTCAAAATAGTTTATCTCTCAGATATGCAGGCTGCCTCTTGATGTTTTCCTTTACCGCCTAGTACGTGGTAAATCAGCACTTATGAAAGTGTTATTATCAATTGCATTCGTTCTAGCGGGAATCTAACCCTTGGCTTGAGAACTATCAAACTTTAGCAAGCCCCTGAACTACCACGACGAAGAAAATACTTACTTCTTTTTTTACCGTTGACCAGCAAAAAGTACATAACGATCTACTTTTACAACTCAAATCATTCATTTGAAGGCAAGGTTGTTCCATTTCACCTGTGACAGATAAAAATGTTTTTAATCTCTGATTTATCTCTCTATATATACTTTCCAGTGCGTGTTACATAATTTATCACTGAAATAAGTATCTAAAGTAAAATTAAAAATTATGTAACACAGCTTGAATTTATAATATTAAATGGGTGTCTGATATTATTCTTATTTTGGGGTATCTATAAAGTTTTCTCATCTGGTTGGGCAGTATAAATATATATTTATTCTTATTATTATTTATATTTTATTATTATTCCTCTTATATTCCTTGTGGTCTCGTCTATTTCGGATACAAAAATACCTTTGAAAATATATAAAAGTAAACTGTAACTATATACATAATTAAAATAAATACTATTTTATAAACTTAATGTATTTAACAAAATAAACTATAGTTATATAAAAAAATCAATCGTAAAGTGGCGGTGTAAGAACATCCATCATCCTATATCGTCCCTTGGGTGTCGTTAGAGCCGAAAGAGGGAAATTGAAACAGAAGATGGGCAGCAGTAACTTTCTGATAAAGACTGAAAATAATAAAAATATAACCCACCTGGGTTGGTAACCGCGAAGTTAAGAAGTATCCGAGTAGAGAGATCCGAAAAAAGAGAATAGAAGTTAATCCGAGAAGTTCACGCTATAAACTTGCGTGAAAAAAGTGAGAAAAATAGGAATATTATTAACTATTTATTGAATAAAAAAATAAAAAAAAATCGTGAAATTGAACTGGTTTGCACTTTCTTTAATTAATTTATTCATAACAAAATACTGATGGACCGATACTGATAATACATCAGGTTCATTACTTAATTGTGGATCGAATGAAACCAGTCCAATTAAATGAATAATTAAAATAACTATAGCATCCGACTCTGGAGACCTTGAAACTTGGTGATACGTAAATGTTTAATTTTGAAAAATCTGACTCACTATAATTAGTTCCTGTTGGGAGGTCAATAAATACAATACCGATTAACATAAGTCACTTAAGCATGCCATCGTTCTTTGTTCAGCGCTTTCTAACTCTAAATATCTTCATAGACTAAACGCACTTTCTTTCCTCTTTCTTCTAGCAGTCAGCCGTTTGGTCTCTCTTATCGAGAGCTTCCGTCTAACACGTTTTATTAATTTATATACCATTACATCCTATCAAAAATCCACTGCTGAACATAGGTCTCCCCTATAGGTTGCCTTACGTATAAGGGAGATTTTGCCATAGTTGCCACGCTTGGAAGGCGGGTTGGCCACCGCAGTCTTTTTATTATGTTGCGTTGTGATCATTAAGACACTGCTGCCCATCTACTGTTTTAATGCAATCTGTCGCCTCTTGAAACACGCACGGAATGATATTTAGTTCTTTTTCTTACACTGCCACCACACAGCGTACATAATGCCAAATCTGCGTTGTTATGACTACTAAAGATCTTCTTCAATGTTAAAATACGTCTCCTAACAAATTTAATTTCAAATTTTTATTACCGGTGTAGAGTTGGTTGTCGAGATGTGTTATATAGCTGCCAGCTAGGCGCAGGATTTCAATCTTGCTCAGCTTCCGGTCTGGTGGCTCCGTAGGGATTAGCAGCCGCAGTGCGTTGAACGCCATATTGACGCTGCTTAGAAACCATAACGATATTTTGATAATATTATTATAAACACGCTTTTTTATTCTTGCCTAAAATTATATTTAAATTATGTGACAATTTGCGAAGACGGTTCGGAACGACGGGTATCGGCATATGTGTTTGTCAGACGTTTATATCTACTTGATGAAGAATTATTCATAATCATTCTGCTGTGTTCAATTTAAACTATCAAATAGGATTTTTCAACTAAAAAGACAAACGAGGTCAATAATGATTGACTTAACGAAAAATTAAGTAGAGGATTTATCAGAAAAAAGAAAATATTATTAAACGGTAAAAAAATATTTTTCTTCACAAAACTTAAATAAATTACATAGTTGATAACTATATACCACCACTAAACGGTACGTATAAAGTAGCGTGTAGTGGCGGTGTATGAATATCCACTACCCCATATCGTCATGTGGGTGTCGTAAGAGGCAACAGAGGGAAATTGAAACAGGAGATGGGCAGCAGCATCTTTCTCATAAAAACCCAAATAAACTCAAATGCGGTTGCTAACCCGCCTGCTAAGCCTCTATGAGACAATCTATGAGGGAGGCCTATGTTCAGCATTAAATTTTTATAGGCTGTAAAGGATGGATGGATTCTATAAAATACTATATGTAATATACAAATAAATTGTATCTAATATAATTTTATATTAAAAATATTAAAGTGAAATTGTAAAGCAACATAGTAACATATCAAATCGAAAGTTGTATGGAGTCGTCGATTACCAAAGAGATTTAAATATATAGGTCGATTACATTGTGCCCTCAAGGGATTCAATTAGAAACCAAAACTTGAAATAAATATCATCCTACTTCCTAGTATTTAAGAAGTTATTAGGAGGATATATGTTGCATTGATTAACATAAGTGTACCCACTAATCATTAAATTTTTTATAGAATAAGGATGACAAACGTGAACACAGTCTACCTGATGGTAAGTGGTTGCTGTGGCCCATAGACATCTACATCTATCTTCGTTTGCGAATTTACAAGCAGATGCGTTGTCAGCCGTGAGAGCTAAGATAGAATGCCTCTTTTCCAGCAAAAAGGATCTCCGGTTCTCTACACTCACCATACGAAACATAGCAGCATTAAACTGCTATTTTACGCTGGTATTCTGTGAGAGCGTGGTCCTTCCCCGGTTGAGTCGACCCATTCGCGCTACAACTATACAATAATTAATATAGCTGCAGCATGGCTCTAACACGTATAAATTACATTATATTAAAACACCACTCACTTTTGAGTTCTGTCCCTTTCACGTGCATTTGCTTGACACCTCTGCTTAGCTGTGGGCACTGCTTCCACGTTATTAGATAATGAAATGGAATGAATTATGTTCCTTTCCCAGCTGTCGTCACTATAATGGCAATTCAAGAAATTATCCATTTAAAACTGTAATGCTTCAAATTGATCAAGAATTAAGACGTTTTCAAAGAGCAAAAGCAATACTGTCAGCGTGGATGTAAGATGCATACTAATCCAAGTGCGTGTTGTTGGTCCACTAATAAGTATCCCGATGGATATCGCTCATGAAGGAGTCATTTAGGAAGAACAGCGCGCGCCACAGAGCCGGCTCTTAACCGATAATTGTATAAACAGATGGCTCCCGCTCCGGCTCATCCTGGTACGCATTTAGAAGTAAGGTTCACATCTTAAAAATGTCACAGTAAAAGATAAATGAAAAAAAAATATATATCTCTTTAAAAAAACTTTCATACCGTTCTGTCTTTTAACTGGTGAAAGGTTATTACCTAAAGACTTTTAGTATATTTATATAAGGATGAAAAACCGACACTTTTATTTAAAAGTGTAACCAAGTAACAGCCCCAGATTTTGTAACATAATCATGCTGTTTAGTGTGTGTTGGAGATGTTCACATATGATCGTAATATTTTTCAATATATCAGATATAAAAGATAGAAACATCAGATAGGAAAACCCAAGAGGTGCGAATAGGACTCGCGCCTTGATGTATCCCCGTATGAACTTAACAATGCATGTAGATAGTTCATCCATCTTGGGAATTATAGGTAAGGTAAGCATCGAAAATTCCTGTAACGTAAAGGCAAACATAACAGTGGAAAAGGTGTTTAGCCCTAGATCGCTTTACTTGTAATGTGTAATAAAATATTTATAATCTCAAAAAAATTCTTTTTCCAGCAATAAATAACTTTTCCTTTACTTAGGCTATGGGAGCTTGCTTCTTGCCAAATTTGCTAGTTCTAGATCGACGGGGAGTACCCTATGGGTTTATATATCTCAGTTTGCGAGTACCAAAACATGTGTCATAAATGGCTGCTTCTTCTGCATTAGAACTGACTTAGAAGCTTGAACTTTTCTACATATAAGGGACCGTCGAGTTGAATATTGCTATTAATTTCAACTTGATACCTTTACCCGTACGTGAGAAAAAGGGTCTGAAGGATAGACAGACGGATGGATGGACGGACAAGAAGTGATTCTAAAAAGGTCTGGTTTTTTTCCATTTGAGGTACAGAACCCTAAAAATAGAAATACAAGAAATAAACACCCAAAATTTTATGCCAGTGCATTGGAACTGGTAATAGATTATGATGTTGCCAAAACAATTAAGCCTAAAACTGAATATATATTTTTTTACTTAATTTAATTTTTTATGTGTGCGCTTATTTACGGTGTTTACCTTCGCCACCGGGCACAGGGTAAATCGGTACTTAAAATTCAATGCACCATCAAATAACTTGCTACCCAAATCCGACCCTGTTATGGCGAATGGCTGAGTTGTCATCAAGAATGTAAAACGCGGATTGCTCCCCCGTGCTCTGTATCTGTTAGTTTAAGCTAACAACGGCAATAAATATTTTTAATGTCCTTAACGACTTGTCAGCGAACTGAGTCACAAATTTCTAGAGCAAAATGAATAAATACATCTTTTCAACAAATGGGCACCTCCTGAAAGGAATTTTAAGGCGCGGATAATGTATATGCGTCTGGTTATGACTTATGTGTATTTAATTTTTCTATAATAAAATTTTCCACAGTTGTTATATGCATATTTATATTCACATTCAAATTAATATGATGATGATGGTGATTATGTCTTACTGGCGATTGACGTTGAACGTTGAACGTTAAACTGCAAGTTCCAAAAAGAGTCGAAAGTATTTTTGTAGAAATAAATATCATAAACAGGACAAGTGAAAGTGCTAACGTAACTGGTTCCTTCGCTTCCCGATTTCCAGGCCCAATGTAACGCCTAATCTGTGATAAGATCGGATGTAGGAAGGAATCTCTGTTAGAATTAATATTGTAGCAATAATTTCTTTTAGACCGATTTTCGGCCACGACGGCAAGTCTCAACGGAAACATCTGTCCAGGACAGGGTCATAGTGCACGAGTGTGTACGCAAACATAGGTGCAATCTCCATGCTCTCATCCTCAAAGTCCGATGGGACGGAAATTTGAAACGACCGGAGAAAGAGATCATGAGCAAGACAGTTGGTATGTACGTGCTTTCCGAGGCACGGGGTTGAAATAACACCAACTTCTTGACTCCGGGCTGTTACTGAGAATTACTGGACAAAAAAAAACAATATCGATTTTGGCCCAACCCGGAATTCGAGTCCAAAACCACATGATCAACAGCCACACAACCACTAGTTTAACGAGGTAGTCGCTAGAAAATTGAATTACAAATAACGAGACAATTGCAAAACATTCTGATCCGAAAAATAACAATTTTGTGTTTATACACAAATACAATTTTTTACTTTTATTTAAAATTGATATCTGCGTGGCAGCCACTTACTAATAACCGAATTCTAAATTACACAATACATACTGTTTTCCAGTCTTAGTTTTTCACAGAAATGTGTTGAGCATACAGAGGAGAATTTCTGTGTATGTTATGCTCAACATACAGAGGAGAATTTCTGTGTATTTAAGCCTGTTTGTTTCATATAAACATACTAGCTGTTCCCCGCGACTTCGCTCGCGTGTTAGGGTTTTTATGTTTTTGCACGGAACCCTAACTCTTTTTCTAAAATTAAAGTAGCCTAAGTTACTCCTTGTGACATCAGCTATCTGCCAGTGAAAGTCGCGTCAAAATCGGTCCAGCCGTTTCGGAGATTAGCCGGAACAAACAGACAGACAGACAAAAATTTTAAAAATTGTGTTTTTGTTATAAGTACCGTATATACTTTCATATGCAATTATTAAAAAGCTGTAATTTTGACATTACAAACAGACACTTCAATTTTATTTATTTGTATAGATAAGACGGTTTGTTCTTTTTTTTCATTTTAAACGAGACATTTATTCTAATCAAAAGGAAAATCAGTCTAAAATATTGTTCGCTCGTTGACTTACATCGGTACCGTTCAATATTGAACGAAAATAAACAGTACAAATACATGCAAACATAGTCAGTAGTGCAGTTCCTAGTAGCTATTATATATTAGTGGCTTGACTGACATACAAAACCAACCTTTGTACAAAAACACAGATTGTTGGCATTCAAGTCTGATTGTATTGTGATTATACCCGTCACTAACACTTCAGGCTAAGAACCGCCGATCTAATCGTATAAGTATTACATCAGTGTGAATGCCATTCTAATAGAGGGTAGATTTGTGGTACGACACTATAATTTCATCGGTATAGTACACAGTATTTGATAAATAATCAAATTGGACAGTACAGGATAACATTTATAGCTTTTCTTCTCTTTGACATACATAACTCTCACACTACGAACTTCTCCATTAGTCCAAACACCTTGACATGGAACTATTATTTGTAGGCCATACAAATACTTGTTGGTGAAGGGTTAGAATACGCATTTCTCAGCGTCACAAACAAAAGCTACACTACAATACCAAGCCACCAGAACTTGTTACCATGGTTGAAATCAGCCAGGAAAATATCAACATCAATAATACTCCATATTTAGTACTCTATGAAGAAATGTGTTTTTAAATAACCTGTCTTTTTCCCGCGGCTTTGTTCGCGCCGGCTTCGCTTCGCTTATCATGACTATTGCTTACCAAAATTCAAAATTGCCTCGTGTTCTGTCAGTGTGTTTGTATTTAACTAAACCCATCTATAATAATATTACTTTATTATATTACTTATTAATTTTTTTTTTTTTTTTTATAGGAGAGGGGGCAAACGAGCATGCAAAATTTTATATAAATTGCTACTAAAAAAGGTTAAAGAACTCTATGATATTTTTTGATTATGATTTACAAATAATAAATTACTATATTATAAAAATAGAATAAAAAAGTTAAAAATTGTTTTACAAAAACGGCCGTATATAAAATACACGATTGGTAACCTGTCTTCGTGAGTTTGCCGTAGTCGAGTAAAATGAAAGCATGATGGAAATGACTAAGAAGTTAAAACAACTATCGTTTTGTGACCACAAATAACAAATTATAACATTACTAAAAGATCTACGCTTAGTACACATATCACACTCTAGTTAAAAGCTAATTGCCCTTCGCCTATGGAGGGTTATAGTCCGTGGGAAACAATTTAATTGGTTAAATTATATGACCGGCACTTCCAAAGTGAAGACATTTGTAAATGTTTATAACTCAAACGAGGTTTCACACTAAAAAAATATTATGAGGGTCGGAGACATTATTAATTTGTCTGTGATGTATTTGTCTATACATATATATCTCATCTTCCGGCTTAGTAATAGGGTAACCAACGGGACCCTATTACTAAGCCTCCGTTGTAATTCCGTCCGTCCGTCTGTCTGTCTATATCTCATAGACAGTTGAAACTTTCACAGACTGTGTATTTCTGTTGCCGCCATAACAACAAATAATAAAAATAAAAATAAATTAAAAATTTAAAGGAATAGAATAGAAACGTGTTTTACGATGGTATGGAACCCTTCATGGGCGAGTACGACTCGCACTTGGCCGATTATTAATTAACATTACATAAACCTCACCGGAAGATGCATACATAATTTTTCTCACTGCTAAATATAGACAACCTGCTTATTGGTGTTAATTTTTCTTGTTTAACATATATTATGTATTGCAATAAAAGTTAGAAATTAGTCAGATGCCACTCGTACATGTGTATCTCGTGTCTTTTACAAGTATCCGGTCATTCTTTCATCATCATCATCATTACAACTCTTCACAAGTCCACTGCTGAACATAGGCCTCCCCCAAGGAATGCCATAAAGCACGATCCTGAGCCAACTGCATTCATCGACTTCCTACATGTCTTACCAGGTTGTCACTCCATTTAGTGGGGGGACATCCTACACTTTGTCCGCCGGTACGAGGCCACCACTCGAGAAACTTTTTGTCACATCGGTTATTGTCGGTTCTTTGAGCTATATGGCCGGCCCATGCAACTTCAGTAAACTGAAGTTGCATCCGTTGGGCTATGTCGGTCACTCTGGTTCTAAAGCGGATATCCTCATTTCTAAGTTTATCACACAGAGAAACCCCGAGCATAAGGCTCTCCATAGTTCACTGAGCGACCTTGAGTTCCTCATATGGCCAGCAGTGAAGGACCACGTCTGAGTTCTATAGTTCATCACTGGCAACACGTACTGATTGTACAGTCTCGTTTTCAAGTTTTGTGGTATACCTGATGAGAGGATGTGCCGTAATTTCCCAAACGATGCCCAGCCAAGTTGAATCTGTCCTTTTTTATTAGCACGCAAATTGTCTACTATTGATCATGAGCTTCTCTTGAAATAAGAGAATTTGCTTTTTTTTTACTTCAATGCTTGAGAGCCATGGTAATAGCTCATGGGCTAGGCGTTCGCTGTAAATTTCACAGTACGCGAGCACGAGTTTCGATCTCCGCCAGCACCATTAATATTGTTAAGTGCTGATTTACCACATGCTCGGTGGTGAAGGAAACATCGTGAGGAAACCTGCTTGTCTGAGAAATAAGAAAAAAAATATTTCGAAGACATGTGAAACTTGCCAACACGCACCGGGGCAGCGCGGCGGACATTTCCTTGCCCTAAAACCCTCTCAGAAATGAGAGGAGGCCTGTGCCCAGCAGTGGGACATATATAGGCTGTTATTTTACTGTACTTTACTGCTGCTTAATAAAACCCACATGATGTTTTTATTTACCTACGAGCAGCTATGTTGGTCTATAGACCAGTATCACTGCGACCTAAAAGATCTATTGTGATCGCTGCTATGTCACAGTTCACTGCTAAGCGCTACGTCCTCAATGAATAGAAGGAGTTGCTTAGCTGTGAGTTATTTCACTTCTTCTGGGCGAAGTACATAGTTTCCCAGATGAGTACTACGTTTGCGCATTAAGGCTCCGCAATTCGCCAGGACGTGTAAAGGCGTTTCCTCCTCTAGGAAGCAAAACCGGCACATTCTTGAGTTGCTTAGTCCCAGGATGGACATGGGCTTTTACCAGAATGCGCAATTTATTTTAACGAAGGGCTTCCAAAGCGAATTTACAATCGAAAGCCCGGATTAAGGATTTAGAATGTTTTAAGCCTGGTTTATCAGACCGTATCTTAAGTGATTTATTGTGGTAAAGAGTTTCCAGGGTCAATCGGGCGAGGCTTTTTGAGATTCCACAAAGTGGCTCGGGTCCAAATTGTGTACTCTTTGAGCCGGCAGTTTCGTTGCCCACAATACCCTACCTATTTTTTTATTATGTATCAGTTTAGTTTACTTAGGTATTAGTATGTAAGTTTACTATAATATACACCACCACCCACTGTCCAATACAACAACTTTCTCATAATCTTAAGGTTGTCTGGAACACATCGCTTATTAGCGATAAGACCGCCTTATTGTACCTACCTCTTAAGTTTTACTCCTTGTAATTTGTTATTTTTTATCGTTTTTGTGGTGTACAATAAAGTATAAATAATAATAATTATTATTATTATTATTTATACTTTATTGTACACCACATTTTTTTTAATTTGGCGTAGGGAAGTGACGACCCCATCGCCCGCTGACGTAATGGTAATGTGACAAAACTGCTACGTCAGCGCAGTCAGTCAGCATCTTGCTAAGAGGTGTGAGCGCCGTGCCTCGGCAGAATTGAGGGTGCTAATTTGGGCCCGCTTGTGCTTTCGGCCAAATCATGAAACGGTGCCGGGCCTGGGCATCTCCCGTTAATTGACGCCCAATTTATGGATGATGGAAGGAAATAGACTGCGTTTAGGGCCGCTGCCTGGGGGTCGCCGGGCCGCGTCTGGAGCTGGCGCTGGACGCGACAGCATGCGGGCCGCCAGCCGAGTGCGAGGTGCTGCACGACCACCAAGCAGCCCCTCGCATCCATCATCCCCACCAGCTGGCTTGGTGTTGGCAGGGTCTTCGCGGGCCCAGCAATCAGCACCCGCCACTGGTGGAGTACGCCGCATGCGTTGGTCAATGCAGATGAATAGCAACGCATTGCGGGCGTATTTTAGGGCGAAAGGGGGAGAAATTGGAGGTTTTGCGTATCGGGCTAGGATGCATCGACTTTTTGCTGAGCTGGAGCCATCTATAACCGTCACCAAGCAAAACCTGGCAGACCGAGTTCGGTATATCTTGCGCTCAATCATATTCAATAGCACCGAACTCGAACGGCTACGACGTGAGGCTGTACCCTCATCGGATGACAATGCTACGGCTGAGGATGCGGCGCCACAAAATGCAGAGCAACCAACACACGTGGATGCCGCCGTGAATCTTTCAGTTATGGTTGGTTCAGACGATGATGGAACAGTCGCCCAGGAACTAGAACTAGAGCAAATGAGGAGTACATTGGAAGAGGCTATTTTGGAAACGCGCAGTATGCCTCTCGAAAATCGACCGCGACTCCCGCGCATGCCCCTAAGCAAGCGGAATCGGGCTGTTGTGAGGGCTCTCAACCCAATGCTGGTGACCTATTTGGAAGCCAGCCGGGACCTTTGCGAGACGGACTCAATTCTTTTTGGCGCCGCACTGGCAGTTTGCCGCATTATTGGCGCCAAAGTTCCCACGGCTGGACGCGCTACTAGACAAAGTAGCGCCATCCCAGCCTGGAGAAGAAGGATTGAGGACCGTATCGCAAAGGCAAGGGCCCTTATCGGCAGACTGATAAGCTTCAGGTCAGGCAATAATAGGCCGAGAATTGTGCGCACCGTCAGGATGGCGTTTGCTGGGACAAATATCAGATTGTCCCAGCCGGATATAACGCAAAAACTGACGGAGCGCATAGACGACCTGAAGCAGAGAATCGCTGCTTGGGGGAAGCGGATTCGGCGACATACCGAGAGGTCGACACGGTTCAACCAGAATCGTCTCTTCCAGAGTGATCAGAAGAGGCTCTATGAATCACTGGAGCGACCAATGGTACGTGGAACGGGCCCAGCACCGAATCAGGCCGACACTATCGCATTCTGGCGCGGCCTGTGGTCAGAGCCCGTAAACCACAGCGAGGGCCCTTGGACGGAAGTCGTGGCGAGTCAGTGTGCGAATGTTACGCCCATGGACCCCGTCCTCATAACGCCGGATGACGTAGCTGAGGCGGTCCGTAGGGCCCCGAATTGGAAAAGTCCGGGACTCGACGGACTGCATCACTACTGGCTGAAGGGGTTCATGGTGTGTCACGCTGTGCTCGCCCGACAGTTTCAAGAGGCTCTCGACCAAAAGTCGCTCCCGAGCCGCTTCACTACTGGGATCACTCATTTGGTTCCTAAGGACCGGGATTCCACAGACCCGAGCAAACACCGCCCCATAACGTGTCTACCTACCATATACAAGACACTAACATCCATTTTGAGCGCGAGAATCATTCGTCACCTGAACTCAAACCAGGTGATGTCGCGCGCTCAAAATGGATGTCGGGGCGGTGGTCGTGGAACCAAGGAACCACTCCTCATTGACGCGGTCATTGGCAAGGTGGTTAAACGCAACCGTCGGAACATCTCCGCCGCCTGGATAGACTACAAAAAGGCATTCGACTCGGTGCCTCATACATGGCTTAAGAGGGTCCTCGAGCTGTACAAGGTTGACTGTACAGTTCGAGACTTCCTCGGGCAGTGTATGGGGCAATGGAGTACGATCCTTTGTCATCTAGGCGAGCGGATGACGGCTGCGGAGAACCACATAAGGATAAGAAGGGGTATCTTCCAGGGCGATTGTTTGAGTCCAACCTGGTTCTTACTCTCTCTGAACCCTCTCAGTACCTTACTGGAGGGCTCCGGGAGGGGATTTCAGCTTCGGAGAGGAGGTACAAAAGTGACCCACCTTTTCTATATGGATGATCTCAAATTATTCGCCTCCAGTCGCTCTCATCTTATGGAATTGCTAATGCATCACTTGTGATTTTAGCAATTCTATTAGAATGGAGCTGGGGACGGATAAGTGTGCGATCCTCCATGTCGAAAGGGGAAGGGTTGCTAACTCTGAGGGCATAGACTTATCTATGCCCATCAGCATAAGGACCCTTTCCGAGGCTGAAACATACCGATACCTGGGTATGTCACAGAACATCGGTGTAGATGAGTCGGGTATGAAACGGTCAGTTTGCGATGTGTTTTATGCACGCTTGACCAAAGTGCTTAATAGCCTTTTGTCCGGTGTGAATAAGACGCACGCATATAACGGTTGGATCATGCCTGTTCTCATGTATACCTTTGGCATACTCAGGTGGACTCAGACCGAACTCAACGCTCTGGACAGAAAAGTCCGCACTATAATGACGTCCCACAGGATGCATCATCCGAGATCGTCAGTAATGAGGCTGTACTTGCCGCGAAAGCATGGTGGGCGCAGCTTTTTAAGCGCGCTTATCATGCATAATCGCGAAGTGTGTAGCCTCCGTAATTACTTTCTGACGAGAGCGGATGATCCATACTATAGGGACGTTATTTCTTGTGATAAAGGGCTAACCCCTCTATCCTTACCCAACGAGCAATGGCAAGACCCGGCAGTACAGAGCATTTCCGACCGGGAGACCGTATGGAAGGAGAAGGAGCTCCACGGGAGGTTCTACAAGGCCCTTCATGAGCCTTTCGTAGACACAGTCGCCTCCCTCCACTGGCTACGTTTCAGTGACCTCTTTGGGGAAACTGAGGGTTTTGTCTGTGCAATACAGGATCAGGTTATTAAGACCAACAATTATCGGAGGTACATCCTAAAGGATGGCACCGTCGACATCTGTCGAGCTTGTCGCCATCCCGGTGAGTCACTTAGGCATGTCATCTCCGGTTGTTCGGCGCTTTCTAACTCTGAGTATTTGCACAGACACAACCTAGTAGCCAGGATTCTACACCAGGAGCTCGCTCTGAAATACGGTCTCGTGGATCGGAAACTGCCATATTATAAGTACTTGCCGGAAGCCGTGCTCGAAAATGACCGCGCCAGGCTCTACTGGGACCGGGCCATCATCACAGACAGGACTATTCTTGCGAATAAGCCTGATATTGTGCTGATGGATCGGGCACAGTCAAGGATATTTTTGGTCGACATTACCATTCCCTATGACGAGAACCTCGTGAAAGCCGAAACAGATAAGCTGACAAAATATCTGGACCTGGCTCACGAGGTGACCGACATGTGGGGTGGTCTGCCGGCCGAAATTATTCCTCTGGTCGTTTCTGCGAACGGGTTAATCCCAGTTAGCCTCTCGGGTCATCTGAGGCGACTGGGACTCCGTGACGGACCGCTCCAAGCTCAAATGCAGAAGGCGGTGCTCCTCGATACCGCCCGCATCGTCCGCCGGTTTCTTTCCCTTTCCCCCTAACCCTCGGCCGTTTGGTCTCCCCTGCCGAGGGCTTCCATCTGGTTGGGTTTTTTATATATTTATGTATTTTTATGTATTTATACTATTTTATTGGTATTTATGTATGTTTATATATTTCGTTTATAATTATATATTTAAACAGCCCAACCAGATGAGAAAACTTTATAGATAACCCCAATAATAATAATACCCGCGTGACTCGGAACCCATCTTAAAACGATCTTGTTACCTCCCATTGGCATTAAGACGGTTCACGCAGTCTTCAATTAGCTTCGAGTACACAAAGTTTGATCTCAGCGCTAGCAGTGCTGCTTGATTATCAGAGTTAATATAGTTTTTTTTTTAAAACGTTACCTCCACACTAGGATTTTCTTCTGTTTCATGGAGGCAGTTTACAAACATATATTGCATGAGATCAAAAATCCAGACCCGGAACAATTATTTGTAGGCCATACAAATACTTGTTCCTTACGAGATTCGAACCCGCGACGACCAGCGCAACAACTCATTGCCAAGCCACTGCGCCACGGATTCGTCTAGATTATATGGTCAACGTAGTGTTTTCGCAGGTTGATTTCCGCACCCGAAGTAAATTTCTGCCTGGAAGATAGAGGTGAATCTACCCAAACTCATACTAAGTTTGAATTTGGGGCGTTCCCCATAAATTCCAAAGCTTACATTGAGGCCCATTTTGACCCATCGGTATACCATATAAGGCTACCGACCTCACAGATAACCTGCCCATTCAGCTATTCTTCTCTGGAGGGTAGTTCCACTGTAAACTTTTTGTTCAAAGTATATAGTGGACGCATGATATCCGAGGTCATGCATGAGACCGGTGTTTCCTTAATTGAATCGATCATTGATCTCAAGTTCTCAAGCAAGCTTAAATCGCCTCGAGCGTTAATTCTATACACATGATATTAAATAGTGATGTGATAAAGTTTAGTTTTAAAGGTTTAGTTTTCACATTTGCCTTGAAAACACCCACACTGTAAACATGCTAAAAACAACAACAACAATCAATACAGCCGCATGCTCGTTTGCCCTCTGTTCTATAAAAAAAAAACAGGTTGACAGACACACGCTAGCAGATTATTCTACTCTTTTGCTCTTATTCTACGAAAGTATTGCCGTTGGGTGTATTGGAGGCTTACATTGTCGATGGCTTTAAACAAATTGAGGTCGTCTATAAGTCTAATAGCCTAGTAGCTCATCATAGTCAAGAAGAAGTAGAAATTGTGTAAGTACACACTGCGACATCACCTCATTGGCAGGCGGACTGGCTGTCGCATCGCCAGACGTCACGAGCCTTTATCGCCACCCTCCTGTCGCCGTTACAGAAATTTGATATGTGGTATATATGAGACGATTACCACCGTCTATCTGACGACTTCTGGACTTCTTGCCAAAATCTAAATCGTTATACAAGATCAACGGGACGAGTTGTGTGATTAATTCTCTTACGTTGTCACCACATAGTTTCATATCCTTCACTCAGTAGATACTTAAGTTACATAAAAACATAAGTTGCATCCTATAAACGGTTTCTGCAGCTATTACGTGTTTTATTTTTTTTTCCTCTGAAAGCAAAACAAAGAAGAGCAATTGCGTGTGAGAGATGAGTGTTGGTGAACTATAACACATCTGCTTAGTTTTATTTTGTAGACTTCCAGATTGTGTGTTTGGTTAACCTTACTTAGGTGACCTCATATTCTCTATTACGAGTATTCTCTTTACACTCTCTACATAAACATACTATAAAAATCTTTGAAGTTGCAATGAAATTTTTATGGATCCGGTATTACATATGTGCCCAATATCAATTGCTTAATGTAATCATAGAATTTAATTACTACGTCTGATGTCAATTTTGTTGTTCTTTTAGTCTTTTAATGGTAGCTTTTGCAAATTGATTTTTCATTACAAGGATTATTTAAAATCTCTAAACACCTAGAAACCTTATTTTTTGATTTAGGGTATCTAAAAATAAACCTTACCAATAAAATCAATAAGGGATGATCGAAGCGATAAATCATAAAATATCACAAGATTTCTAGGACACATATATTTGGTTAGTGGTCGATGCTTAAGAGTCACGAAGATGCTTAGACATCTGTTGGTTTTGCATGCGACGTCACGTCCCCTCCATATGATTGTGACCAACCCGTGTGCGGGCGCTCCACGGCCGAGACTTTCTCCTCCACACTAGAGAAACGATCAACGAGTCGCGAACGCAACCGCGCGCGGGTCGATCGTATAATTTAAAACGTCAACGAAATCTACTATTGTAATACTTCCGCGTTCGAATCTGCATCGCTTTCGCTCCGTAAACATTTTCACATGCGGACATTTCGTGTTTTTAAACAATTTTAATTCAACATCCTCAAGCAAAATAGATTCTTGTGTATGTGATTAAGATATTTTTAAGCAGTGCGTGAATGATGCCTGATCAATAATTAGAGGTAAGTAAGATCGCCTTTCTACTGTCCGACCTGTTAGACGATGACATTCGATGATAAGGTGGGCGAAGTGTTCTGGTGAACGCAAGGACGAGCGATCCCACCGGTCTATCGGACGAGCAGTTGTGGGCCGGCTATTTGATTTTAACATTTCTAAATTCTTTTGATTAAATTATTGTTATCAATAAGATACTTGTTATTGGAAAATTTTTGCATATTAATCTAACAGTGATTCTTTCACATACCCGTCTCGAACATAGGAATATCGTTATAAATATAGATGTTAGTTATTATTTTGAACTATCTATAGCATAGCTAAAAGGAACATTTTACATCCCCATAAGCTTATATTTATTATTACCCAAGCTACAGATACAGTAAACACACCTTTAAGTTCATTTATTGGACACTTACCCGTGTCTATAGGAATACGCTGAACTTATATACAGGCTGTTTCTTATTTGAAACATACAATTATTAGAGATTCGTCACGAGTATTTAGTTTGTAATACTTATGCTTTATTGTAGGTAGATATTTATTTCGTATATATAAAGATTTCTTCTTAATCATCAGCTTATCTCCTGTTCATAGGCTTTGCCCGTTTAGAGACGATTTACCTTACTCGGCAAGTTTGGAAGGTGGATGATCTTGGTATCAGAGGTCTCGATGCTGTGACGCTTGCTAGCCGTCGCTGTCCTGAGTATTTACACGTGGTAGAAGCGAGATGATTATGCCATTATTTTTAGGAAGGAGTAAAATGTTGCCATTTACCATAGCCGCTCTTAACGAAACGCGCGAGACAAAAGGAGGTAATAGACAACACATTACCTCATTGTGTTTTCCATTACCTCATTTCACAATTAATGATTTATTTTTGATAATTAATAATGTCAATCCTGACCAATTTTGTAACTAGAATGGCAACATTGGAATAACTGTTCCATCATCGCCCCACCAGACGCTTTGCCGGTCTCATATACTTAGAAGCCAGTCTCCACCCCTTTTATCTTCGACATAACGGTCGGGAACCAAACGGTTTGCTTCGTTGTTCATAATGATTACAGAAAAGGAGTGGGATAATTTGCTGGCATCTGTTTCCATCTGATTATAATGTAGA